AGTCGAAAAGCGTGTCGGCAGGTGCATAAATATATAAACATAGAAATGTGTGAATATATATATTGCACATGATTTTAGAAATGATCCAATATTCGATCAATTTGCTTAGAGCACGCAATTTTAATTGAATTAACCTTCAACAGGAGGTTGTTCAAAGCTTGATTTGTACGATATATTTTAGAGCAAGTAATTTAAATAAGACATTAATAGCTATTTACGCCTATTCAGTCAATATGTTCGGCTCATTGAACTCTGTCAGTTGATGGTCTGGCAAAAACTCAATCGCAGTTTGCGTTTAGTTTATTTACTTTAGTTATATGTATGCTTGGCAAATTGTTTTGTTTATTTGGATGGAAGCAAATCGCTTCGAGTCTGGAGGATTGTTTTCTTTACCATTGGGGTAGAGCGCGACGGTGTTAAAAGTGAGGCTGCAAGCCGGTCTCGAGCCGAACCTGATTATGCTCGGAATGATCATTTTCTGTCTTCAGCCAAACCTGAACCTGAACCGAACCAAGACGGTTCGTTTTAAAATATCATCTTTTCGAAAATATTTAAAAACGTATTGGTTTTTGATATTGTTCTATCGGGTTTTGAACTTGGTAGTTCCCATTTTTATTGTGCCTGACAATGCCCCTGACATTTTTAAAACACACATGAGCCTCAAGTGGGTCACCTTTTAGCTTATCAGGGCACATTTGAGCTGATTAACATTATATGGTCGTCTTCATAATGTCGTTTATAAATAACTACCGATATGATTGGAAATTTCAATTTTTACAATTTGTTTTCGTTGCCTTTAAAAACGAAATAAGAAGTAAAATGCAATTATGACGTGCGAATTGTGTTCTATAATAACTTCTAGCCGATTGATGGATAGATCTGCGCACTTAGTGATCCTTTTTTCCATCCACCCTCTACAATATTCAACTACATAAGGGAATAGAAAAGGGTCTTTACCATAAACCTTTTCATTCAATCGCTTTTAAACTTGTTTTCAAAGAAATTTCAATTAACAATTTTTCCTAATATTCTTACTCTGGGATGGAATCCTCCAAGGTCCTGTCTTACTGTACACTTAGACTATAGAAGATGGACACTTCGAAAATCTTACGGAATCAGTCAGTATAAAAGGTTATAACTATATACATTTTGGAAAATTATAGTTAAATTTGTTGTATTTAAAAGCCTTTGGTCTTCTATGTGTTTATGTGCGCAGTATAATGCTAAGGGTCAGCGGTCTTATCTGCCAAACCGGGTTCAAAACGAACTGTTACAAATTATATTGCAATGCAACTTTGTGACGTCAATGGAACAGACTTTATGTCTGTGATTGACAGCAACGAACATTATATCAATAGTTGTAGGTGTAGGCACTTATGGTGCATTCCCATAACGCGTGATTGTCAGGGGTAGCATATGAGATTGGCAGTTTGACTGATTGCTGATCGAGGCATAGACCAAATCCTAAGAGCAGGGGATCTAAATTTCACAGAGGAGATACTATATATAAATTAATTGGAAAACTCCTCACCTAAGAGTGGCAAATTGGAGAAGGACTATTGTACGATTCATTATAATAAATATTAATTATTTGCGATGGGAGAGAATGAAGATCTCTGATTATTGTATATTCCCTATTCCGCGCTTAAGTCCTATCTCTCTGATAGTTATGTTTCCTTAATCCAAAGAGCTTACTTAATATAATAGCTTCATTTTTTATTCAATTTTGGTGAACCCCAAAGCATAATCTGCATTTGTGTTTTGTCCTCTCGGCTTAAGGACTGACTCGACGCATTCGTGAACCGAGAGGTGTACAGAAATATATGGTTATACAAAGTTGGTGTTGATGTGGCTTTCTTGTAACTTGAATTTTCGCCCACAAATGGACTCTGGGTATAAAAATAAGTTAACATGCATGTGTAACATGAGGCTAATATCGATGAATGCCTGCACGCCCACGGCATAAACGAGATCCGTCGGCGAAAGGTGCAGTGCTTGGTTGTTGGTTTAATATAAGAGTATTTGTGGACAGCTTTCCAGTCTCCGTTGGTTCATTAGTGTATCTTATCGGACGCTAATCAAGTTTTTATTTTAATCGTATAATTGTTATGTGGGGTCTTTTGGGTTCTTTTCTTATGTACAAACATTTGTTGTTGCTAGCCGGTCGCGCGACAAGAGACACGCTGCTTATCATTGGCTATTCAGTTTTTTCCTCTTCAAATAATAAGTTCAATGACTAAATTGAAAAGTGATTTTTTATAGTTGCTTCATATTTATAATACCCAGTATTTGTAGAAAATGGGTGGGAACATGGCCAAATAGTTTATTGAGTACATGTTTTTTGTCAGGGAACAAGCGCTCCTAAGAAAATCTTTAATATTGAAAATAAAAATAATGGAACTATGGAACGAAGAAGAAGAACAACTGCAAATCAAGTACAGGTACAGGGTATACCCATGCCAGGCATTCCCGACTAGAGCGCTTTGACTTGTATATTTTGTATTATTTTGACTTTTTAATCAGCTGCTTTTGGAACTTACTATCAGCTTTATGTACATGTTGCCCCAGTTTTTTATGTTTTTGTGTTGACCAGCTTTTGCAATTAAGAGATTTAAAGAGAGATAGAGGGAAGGAGAGAGGGTGGGGGGGGGGGGGGAGGGAGAGACAGAGGGGTGATAAGCGAGAGCTGCAAAATTAAAAATATACAAAGAAATTGTTGAATTGGACAGAGATCATAAGTTCTTGCAAATAACAAAAGCTGGGTAGAGGGTATCTCTAAGTCAGTAGAGCACCTTTATTTTTTTGTGTTTTTCCCTACCTGTTTAAAATATTCTCTGTATTTTTAAAACAAATTAAAATACTTATATAAAATCTTTTGCTGTTATTTCTTGTTTTCTGAAATCTTTGTCGGCGTCTTTTTTTTTTGTCATCCGCTTTTAAAATTTTATTTTGAATATACAAATTAAACGTAATACAATTTCCGATGCACATCATTTGAAAGCGCATTAAGTTTAAGATTTATGAATTTAATTATGAATTCATAATTTAAAAGAGCTGAAGCCGCGACGGACGGTAAGCGAAGAATTTAAAAAATGATTTCAAAATTATTTGTATTTACTGGTGGATGCGAGTTTGAATAGTTTGCTGGTAGCATCAGTTAGGCATAAGATCAGTATTTGACACTTGAATAGTTCTCATTTAGCTTGAATTTGTTTATATTATTTGTTAACTGGTCGATGGTTGGATGTTTTTTAAAATATTGAAGCTATATCTCTGATTTGACTGGCGCCTTAGGTGGCATCATAATTTTGACCAGACCCCACATAAAATGTATTCATTTTTGAAAAAATAAAAAACATTGATAAGACATTTTATATTTTTTAGGTGATGTGATTTATGGCGCATTAAAAAGTTCAGGTCTTGACTGCATATATTTGTCTAATGAGTGGCAGATAGCCCATGCCCGGGTTTTGACTTGCCCTCCGGCTTACGGGGGAGATGGACGTGTCACAAAGCTAAACAGGTGGCGGGGAGCTGCACTAGGAATGCAAAACGACCTGATTAGCTGCGACTTAGTTCCGCAATTAGATTGCCTCAGTTAATGCGCTTAAAAATCTGGGTTCGTGGGTTCAGGTGCTATTTAAATATAGCAGCGCTTACCAAAGCCCTATTATTTTTAGAATTCCTGTTCACCCTTTGAAATGCTTATAAAATAGCGAATAAAAAAAATGAGCTTAAAAATAAAGTACCAGCTGGTATTCGGCGTTGCCCGGCACATTAGAAATAACGCATCCTCTAAAATGTAACGAATTGACAATTTCTTCAAAGACAATTTCCTCAAATACGCAAATTGAGCCTTGATAAAAATATATAAAAATATATATAAATATAAGATATATAAAGCAAAACTATCAGCCGCTGAATTAAAAAATCAATCAACATATACATCAAATATTAATAAAAAATAAACAGATACCTAAATACATATAGACACGGATTTGTTGTTAAAAACCCACCCACCTGAATAGCCTTATCGAACTGTAATCAGTATTTTATGTTCGAGAAATCCCCAACCTTTCACGCCAGCTCCCCAGGCGGGCGTCTCGCAACTTGACAGTGGCGCAGTCTAATCGAATCAGCAAAAAACGAGATAGAAAATCGTATAGTTTGTGATTTAGTTATTTGTAGATTTGTTTTTCGATTATCAGTTTAATGATTTTTTAAATTCAGATTTGTGGCATGGCCCAGGCGCGATTAGTTAACATTTGTTTTGAGCGTGTTCCCAGAGCCAAAGGCTTGATGAACCTTACAGCCGAGATGAGATAACTTAAAGCAGCACATGCAATGTGAGTGACAGCTAGCAGCTTTTATTCCCCTTACCTCCCACTCGAGCTAGGTATGGTATGTAAGTATTTATAGACAAGGTTTATGGATTTGTTGTGTCGTGTCGACGGCTAAAGCACCTTCAATCCGTTTTGGACTGTGTTTATCAGGGCGTGGCTATCAATTTGAGGCGTCCTTATCGCAGCACAGCGCTTCTGTGTAATATAATTACAATTCGTTTTTGATTGCAGCATTTTGAGAGGAATTGTGATTACAAATGGGCGTGTTTGGGGGTGTTTCTTGAAGGCGTTAATCGTAGATTAGTATCTATATGCCCAAACAATGTAAACTAATTATCAATTGATATATTTAAGAATTTCTTTGCTGTTGTGTAAGAGCACACAGAGTAGTGTATTTCAAAAGAATGATGCCCATTAGTAATATGTTCAATATTTTCACATGATATATATTTATATTTTGTGATTTAATTTCAAGTCAAACATTTTAAACATGGCGCCAATTTCTGTATCGATATATCAAACGGTAAATTAACGAACCAAACGATAGCATGTGAGTAGCAAACATGCAAATCGATATATTTGTGGAGGTAGTCGATATTTGTTTAGCGTTCCTAATAAGATTCAACGAAAATATTATAAGAATTAATAATAACAATCGCACAAGGATGGTGAGTAACCTCTCGCTGCGTTTTTATTGTTTGCTGGTAAACATTTAGAGCTAGTGCTAGTGGTGTAATTAATTGATAGATTGACATTTCATACATTTCTGGAACGAAGTTGTAGATGGAACAATAGCTGTTGAGCCATTTCCGATGCGGGCAATGAAAAGTGCGGGATTAGTAATAATTGTGTTCCATGCCTGTGCCGGCTACTCCCGACACTGCTTCGGGCAATGAGATTAGCGGTCCGCCCACTGCTTGATCCGGCGAACGTTTGCCACCCCAGGAATGGAATCGTTGCTTCTTGCCCAGAACAACCGAATTGCGTTTGTCGTCCCGCTGGAGCTTGAAACGACAGCGCTCTATGACCGCATCTCGTATGATGGTCGCGAACTCAACGTCATTGAACTGTGCCATTAGCAGCTTGAAGAAGGCCCAGATCTCACCGCGCTGGGATGTTGGTGGTGGAGCATATTGATGGAACAGCCAGGTCTCGGATAGTGGGGCATCCTCTGGTGGTACGGTACGAGCGTTGTACGCGTCACACACATCCTCAAAGCTGAGTATGGCCTGGAGAATGAACTTGCGATACTTGGCCAACTGCAGCTCGCAGGTGTTCAGCTCCAGATCCACAGACGTGTGCGCGGGCAGAGCATATAGCTGCCTACAAATGGCCAGCAGCAACAGCAAGCGCCAAGTGGGCAGCATCCTCGTTGATGCAGTTGATGTGCGTTTGTAAATCCTTTTAGAAACCTTTTCGGCGGCACGCGCGCACTCGTAGATTAGCAATGAGCAACTGTGCACTCGAAGGGCACTTTCAATGGCCTTATATACCGCCAGCAGCGAGGTAGTCCGTGCCACCCACAGACGACTGCCAACTTTGAAGTTCATAAAATAATTATAAAACGTTGTCGTTTACATTTCTAAGCCGTTACACACGGCTAAAGAGCGAGTCCTAATAAGCAGCGCTATGGCTATGTCTGTCCGGATCTATGGGCCGTGCGGGGGTTGGCTTTGCGTCCAGCAACAAGTGTCATAAATTTACGGCGTACTCTTTAGCTGCTAACTGCTGCTCATTTGTATATTTTTTTTCCTTTGCGTTCCCCCGTTGAAAATTTATTAATCCTGCCCGTAGATAAACGTGACGTTCACTTGAAACTGAATGCCACTGCGAGTCGCCTTTATATGTCACAAGCTGCTCATTAGCTTGTGGCAGTCTGCCGCCCGCACTGCCCGCAACGCACCCACCACCACAACCCACAGTTGTGCACCCCTTTTGGGGCAGCCTTGTCAGCCAGTTGTACAAATTGCTCGCTGATTAGCAGGCAAGCGCATGAAATTAATCATATGCAAATACGAGTATGCTACCACTTTGCGCATTTTTTTCTTTTCTCTCGAACTTCTGGATTAGCCCACTTGTTGAATCCTGCTCTTTAATTTACTTGGGACATGACGAATGACAAAGTGCGTAGGCGTGCAAAGGGGAAAACAAGTAGTTGTGACGCGTGCTTTTGACAAAGTCCTCAGGCACTTTTTACTTATTTTAAAATTAAACACAATTCCACTTCCTTTTTCTTGCAGAAATTTCGATTTTGTGGCGATGGCGATTGTCCTGATTGGGTTTTAGCTGAAATCATATCCACTCTCTCGAACTTGAGCGTCGACAACTTGGAGCAACTGGCCCAGATAGTGGCCAAGCGCATCAGCGGCGCACAGTTTGAAGTAAGTTACTGACAAAATCTTTAAAACGTAACCTAATTTGTTTTACTCTACAGGAAGCTGTTGTTAGATCTCTCACTTCGTCTGTTACAAATGATGGCAAAACGGCCGTTGCCTGCGTTCACTATATGCTCACGAATGCGGCTCGGTATAGCTGCTCCGAGACAATCTTTGGCGAGGAAATTCAACAGCTTGGCTTGCCCAAGGATCATGCGGCGGCCATGTGCCGAGTCCTGCAAGCGCATGCCACGGTCATAAGACAAAAACTTATAGATAAGGCATTTAGAAGTAGCCTATTCCCCATATCACATGATATCCATTTGAAATTAACTATCCTTCGACTTTCAGTTAATGAGCTGCAAAGCATACGAAATGTTACCTCGCCTGGGGAAACGCCCCCAAACTGTGCCACCTTGGAACTTAAAATCTCGCAAGAATTAGTCGACGGACTACCTAAAGATACCACGCATATAGTTAATATTGAATGTGCCCAGCTGGGAGCACTGCTCGATGAAATGAAGCTGGCCCGTGATATTATGCTCAAATATGAGAATAAAGAGAATACGTAGAATACATGGGTAATTTAAGAGAAGCAAGCTACTGTTCGGCTGACCGCCTAGCTAAGCAGAGGGAATATGCCTCGCTCTTTACAGGGAGCAAACCATGTCCATGAACATGAAGTGTTCCAACTGTTGGTTGATGTTTTCATCAATTTGCATACTATTTAATGCAAATCCTACGGAACTTGTTCGACGTTCAGATGAGTTATACAATCGGGTGCCAAAATCCATAGATCGGAAGAGGTGGATCTCCCGCCAAACCTAGGTGGATGACACAACCAAACTGTGGAATTGATGTTTCAAGGAGGCGCTGTTTGATGCTTCCATTAATCCTATTAATGAAAACGTTAAGCCCATTGACTTAATTGTCTAATCGTATTTTTGAATCTTCATAATTCATAAAGATAATTTCGATTTAGTACAATTAAGTACTAAAAAGTCAGTACACTTTTTATTCATTTCTTACACCACTCGGTAAATTGTCCTTTTTCCAAGTCAAAAACCTAATTCGAATTGATTCCGAACGGGATGTTTTTCGTAAAGTCGAGTTTACCAAACGAGCATATTCGATGTGATTTGTGAATTGGATATTTCCGGGTCGTGTCTTTGCTAGCCTTGCCAACCATTTCAATTGTTAATGTTATGTTAAAATGATATTAACACAGGTAATTCAATAACAGAAAACTGTTACTGTTAAGCAACTGTTAGCAGGATGAATTTTAGGTTGTAAATTAACTTTTTTAATTTTTACACGACTTTTCTATTATATCAGAATTGTAAAATAGTCCTCATACATTGAACCTCATTGAAACAGGAGGCCACGAGGCGTCGTTTCACTCTTATCTCTTATCTCCCACATAAATTACTAACATAAATGTCACCAAAAATCAACCACAATTTGAACCCTTTTCTTACCCAAAATTGTTAGTCCCACACGCGCTGCCATCGTCCACGTGAACTGTGTCAAATTTAATCAACTGGCGTGCAACCTGTGCTAGTATTTTTGACTACCCTTGCGCAATTATTAATTATAACGTAACGTGCAGCGTAAATAAAGCGAAATTTGTTAATAAAAAGATGGGTAAAAAGTGAACCCTTTTACCCCCAAATACCTGAAATCTCCAGCGTTTGCCTTATCATCCGCTTTGCCACGGCAATTACCGGCGCATCCTTTGGACTGGGCGGGCGGGTTATTAAAATTATCTGCAGCAGCTAAAAAGGGAAGTAAAATAAAAGCAAAAAAATAGAAAAGGAAATTTCAATTAAAAAACGTAAAAAGAATAAATTAATAATGCTGCTTTTTTTTTTAATACAATTTCTAATTATGAGCAGCTGCGCAGCGTCAAGTGTCAGGCCAAAAGTCGCGCTGGCATTTGAATTTTTGATATTTTCTTATTTGTTTTTTTATTTAACAAATTTGGCTGTATTATTTTTTCAATTAAACTTGACCATGTCAAACAGTCAAAAAAGTCGCAAAGTACTCAAAATTTTTCCATTTTACTTTGTTTGTGGCCCTGCGGCGCTTATTTCTTGGTCTCAATTTTTTTTGCTGCCACATGTTGCCGACACTTGCAGCAGTCGTTTACCCCCATTCCCCCCGTTTTGCCCATCGCCCCTCTCACCTTTTTTCTTCTGCACTTGAACCTTGATTTATGATGGCCAATGGCAACTTGTGGCCCCCTTCCTGCAGCATTGTCACCTGGTCGCCTTAATTAAATTTCTGCTCGAGCATTTCAATGAACTGCAGCATTGATTTTCGGCCCGCCTGTACAGTGTACACTTGATATAGTGGACGGGGACATAGGTAAATAAATGTACCAATTACTCGGGCAACTATTTGCGCAACATTTTGTTTTAGTTGGCGCAAAATGATATCTAAACATTTGTGGGGCTGTATTTTCAATGGGCGGCAATGTCAACAAAATGGGCGGCAATGTCACGTAACACCAGTTTTGGATGCCATATAAATGGAATCAGGCAACCAGAACTCGTTTGATGCCTCACAAAGGTTGAATTTTCGAAGGGGTGGTGCGAGGAGTTTTAAGCTGAAAAATATATATTAGTTTTTTTTGTTTCTAACTTAATACACATTTTTTGGGGCCATACTTGCTTGAAATATATATCATATATATATATAACAAGTAAGAGGTTCTAGTCGGGAGCTCCCGACTAGGGGATACCCTGAACCCTTTTCTTCCAACATCAAATGTATATATATTCTATTTTAGAAGCTATATGTAAAGTTTGGTGACTCTACCTCTTATTATTTACCAAAATTGCCCAAAAAACAGGATATCGATATCGATTTTTATCGAAACGGAGTAAGTTATCGATTATTGGAAACTCGATCTGCGCGGGTACTAGGAGCACCTACATCTAGAATTTCAAGTCTCCAGCTCTTATAGGTTCTGAGATCCTTGCGTTCATACATACGGACGGACGGACGGACAGACAGGCGGACATGGCTAGATCGACTCGGCTATTGATGCTGATCAAGAACATATATACTTTATGGGGTCGGAGATGCTTCCTTCTGCCTGTTACATACATTTGGATTTCGCACAAATACAATATACCCTTATATCCATTTTTAATGGGTTCAGGGTATAAAAACTATATACTTTTTTTAACATAGTCGCGTCTTGTTTATTTATCACTAGCTTCCTCTCTGGCCACCCTCGCGACGCTCGCATAGAGAGACAGAGAGAGAGAGAGAGTATGTCACAGCGCCCCTTAAGCAATTGTAATCAGCGGCTGGCAACGCCTAAACATGTGTACCGCTATTGTATCTCCCTGTCGCTCAGCCCGCAGCTGGCAATGCTGTCACATTATGCGCCTGTTACCATATCTTTACAACTGTATCTACAGATCGTCCTCCACGCACTTATATGACAAAGCACGAAACTTAAAAACCTTATGCATGTGATTTGAGGTCGGCTCGCGGGGGGTTGGCGCATGGCACAAGTGCCAGCCTTTTGATACCCTGTAGTCATTTAGAATGGGTATATTAGATTAGCATTGAACAGGCAGATAAATGCCGTAACGAAGAGATCAGCATTATAAGCCGAGTCGTTCTAGCCAAGTCCAGTTGACTTTTAGCCTGTTTGAGTATCTATCAATATTTACTCAATTCCGAAAAGTCAGCTAATAGGAACCCATCATGACGGTTATTGGAAGTATAGTCCTGATATTCGAATGCCATATTTTGTGCTCTTCATGAAATAAAACATACCATAGTTTAGTAGCAAGTGAAGGACGTCCGAAATTAATCAGCTGGGTGCAGGGTATCGCCTAGTCTAGCAACCTCGAACAGAGCACTATAACTTGTCTAGCTCATGTTTTGGCTTGGGTTTATTTATATTTTTTTGCTGGGTCTGAGTTGGTTGACTGGGTGCTTGGTGGTGGGCCTGGTTGGTTTGTTGCTAGTCCTTCCGCTACGGTTTTTACTTTGTCAATGATGCCAGCCAACCCCCGTGGGTGGGCCACTTTAGTCACCCTTCGGTCTTTTGTTTGGGGTTTCGCGCTCAAATGCCGGAAACATTTCTGACTTTTTCAATTTGACTTTTGTGCGCCGGCTACCAATGCAGTGGTTTTATATGCAGTGGGTGATATCCCCCCTCAGCGTAATAATGAAATAAACGTTTCGCTAAATGCCTACGTATTTGGCACGGCGCAACAGAGCCTGGCTCGCGAATCGTTTAATTTGATGAGCTTGTCAGGATGTGCAGGGAATGGGAAAACTGACAAATAAGTACAGAGAGTCTCAAGATTTCAATACCTATCACAGTTGCCAAAAGACATTTTCTGACTTATAATTTAACCATAATTTGTTATTTTTATATACTTATTAAAAATTATAATAGCGTGTTCAAAGAATTCATACAAAGTTTATTTTATATACAATTTGTTTTCCTAATAGTGCTATAATAATAATTATAATTTAGACATCTATCGGTCCAGTCAAAATATCCCTACAGATCGATAATTCTGTGAGGATTGATAGAAGAACAGAACCGAAAACTTTACAATAGGCAGATATATAACTTATATAAACTCTACAGATCTTGTTGCAGTTAGCACAAATGGGAGTATAAATAAATATAGCTGAATTAAATGTCATCTGGCAAAAACAAGTCGTCGTAAGGGATTTCATTGAATATACCTTTGACCATGCCGATAAAGACACTGGCAAATGTGTCCAATATACTTGGTTCCCATTCGTTCCAGACCTCAATCCAACGTTGGTTGAACAAACGGTTGAAGATAATGGTAAGATCGGTGTTTTCTGTAAAAAGGCTGTCCATCTCTAAAATCCAGCTGATGTTGAGACTTTAGTTAAGTAACACAATCTAATATATTGTTCGATCCGCACTCACCGATCGATTTTGACAATTGGGGTCAGCTCGTAGATGTTCAAGTAACGTTTATTGTTTCGAAAATCAAGTGAGACTTTCAGTTTTAAGGTGAAATGCATGTTTTGAAACTCCGATAAAGAGTTCCCAGTTAGATTCATTTCAACCAGCCAGAGGCGTCCATTCGCATCAAAAGTGCCCTTGTGCACCAAACTGGGTATACGTCCAGAGATTGTAATTTGACTAGCTTTGGGATTTTTACCAAATCCCTTAACACTTGTAATGGTTGTGTTTTCGAAGCCATAGTTTACTTGATTACTCAGACTGACTGATGCCCAAATAAATCCGGTTCGATTTGATCTTAAGAGTTCTGTATCCCTTATGTCAACCACATCGATTGGTTTGATGCCCAATTCTGGTTCCTTTTGGATATTTTTTGATGATGTCATTTATGGACTCAACCATGCATTTCTCATCTCCGAAACGGCATTTCTTGATTTTCTCTGCTGTGATTCCATAATGCAATATTTATTTGTTGCGAATGTCCTTAACGTGTGTCATCCAAATATACTTACGTAATGCTGTGCAGAAATTAACGATCAGAAGTAGACGGATAACCAAAACGTAGGAAATCATTTTCCTCTTTTAAATGATAGCTTGTTTATTTCGTAGACTTGATTCGGCACGTGCTTAATGCTTAGTAGCTCTACTAAGAATAAGCTAACACGATTCAGTTGTCCACTCTAAACATAAGCTATTCGAGAACCAGTTGAACCGCTTTTTATCTTATTGCATTTTGCAGCTTCTACACGGCATTTCTTGAGAGTGAGAGAGCGCTTGCATAATAGTTGTATCGGTACTTTTATTAATAACTGATTTCATTAGGCATATTTCTTAACAAATGAAATTAAATATACGAATCTAACAAAACATAAACGAGTGCTCTACTTGGGAGTGCCTGACTAGCAGATACCCTACCCTACTCTCTATCACGCTTATTACAGAGAAAAACACAGACACGCTTCTGTGCTTCATCTTCCCTGAATGGTGTATAATTAAAGATATATTGCATTGAACATTTTCTATGTCTAGCTATTAAAAGTTCAAAAAATCAATAATCAAGAAACCGAATTCGACAACCAATGCATGGACATATCAACTCGGCATATATTGCATTTAAATATCTATTAACTATAGCTAAGACAAATATCGGCACAGTTCAAACTACGCTACAGATTGATAATTCTGTTAATATATATATAAAAAAAGTGAAATATCGAATATCCCATCAAGATGAATTATCATTTGGCAGAAACAAGTCGTCGTAAGCAATTTGATTGAATGTATCTTTTATCATGCCGATAAAGACACTGGCAAATGTGTCCAATATACTTGGCTCCCATTCATTTCAGATCTCAGTCCAACGTTGGTTGAACAAACGATTTAAAAAGATGGTTAGGTTAGGCTTTCAATCTCTAAAATCCAGCTGGTGTTGTGACATAACTAGAGTCAGGCCCAATCAAATATTTTGTTCTCATCAACACTTACCGATCGATTTTCACAGTTGGACTCAATTCGTAGATTTTCAGATATCGCTTATTATTCCGAAATTCCCGTGAGACTTTTAGTGTTAAAGTGAAGTACATATTTTGAAACTCCGATAGCGATTTACAGGTCTGATTAAATTGAACCCACCAGATCCGAATGCTTGCGTCCAAAGTGCCTTTGTGCACCGAAATTGGGTGGCTTGATGCCTATTTCGGGTATTCCTTTTAGATATTTCCTAATGATATCATTTATGGACTCAACTATGCATTTTGCATCTCCGAATCGACATTTCTTGATTTCCTCTTGCAAATGTGTATGTTTCATGTGCTTACGTAATGCTTTGCAGGAATTAACGATAAGAAGTATATATATAGCTAAGACATAGGATATCATTTTCCTCTTTTGAATGAATCACGTTTAATTCAGCGCGGTTCGGCACGTCTAGAGTGTTCGGCAGATCTACTTGCAGTGGGTTCATACGATTCAGTTGACCACTTTCAACATACTTAACTATCGTAGAACCAGTTGAGCAGCTTTATTGATCTCTGCTGTTTAGAAACGGCATTTCTAGAGAGTGAGAGAGCGCTTGCCTGATAGTTGTTGCATTTTATTAAGTAGATGATTGCCTTGATGCCTAACAAACTTTCTAACTTCCTTAAATTTGAATACATAGGGCATGTCGCTGCGCAACTTCTTCCCAATGTCAAAAAAAAAAAAACAACTTGACTCTAATACAAAGATAAGAACCTTCATAACAAATTGGATGTATCTAGCTGTATTCATTTTTGGATAATATGGAATTTACAAATTATATCGGAAAATAATAATCAACTTTTTCTGCATAGGACATATGTATAACATATATATATATATATATATCAAGCCTATAACTTTTGTTATTTCCGAGATATATATGTTTGTATGGAAATGTTTAACGACAATGATGGGGGCTTATGGACGGCAGAGAAAAGTTTTGTTTCTAAAAAACTGGGAGTCAAGTAAATAAAATCTCTTTAAGATTTCGACTGCAACATGATATGTAGTCCTAGTAGAAACTCAGACCCTAATTTATTTATATATGCACAGCAATTTGAATTCTTTAAATTTAGTGTTCTAATGTAGATTGAAGTTTCTTTGATTGCTAGCCTAATATTCATATGAACTTGTTCTTTTGGCTGCTGGAAGCACCTGAGCATAAAAAGTTACCATTTCCGTTTCCGCTCGCATTTGTTGATCGACTGCTTCGCATTAATCAACGCATAAATTTAACGCATTATTATTTATGTGCCTGCTCTCAGCGTTGTTGTTATTGCGGATTTCATTTCGAAATAGAAATTGTTTTACAAATGTCACGACCCAGCCCCAGCCCTAGCCCCCGCGCCAAGCGTGGGCGTGGGGGGTGGCAACAAAATAAATGGCGCTAAAATGATTCAATTACGCGAACCAAAAAAAAAAATAAAAGTAAAGAAAAAATGGAAACAGGTGGCAGCTCGGGCGACAAATTTTTGAATTGAAGTTGGGCACGAGCACAATTTGTAGACGTGTTTATTGGCGGTGCCTGCAGCTGCGTTCCACATGGCAAAGGCGAAGGCGAAGGCAAAGCCATTGGAAAGGGCGAAATATAATAAGCGAAAATAAGATTTTAATTGCCACTTTATGGGATGCGTTGAATGCCATTTTAATGCCAGCCAAGCAGGTGCGAAACACTCAACGCGGCACCTGTGGATGCCCGGATTTTGGCATCCGGCAACAAAATGTCTAGCAAATTGAACTCGACTAATTGCTGTATGCTCATCCGTTGCCATTGGTGCGCATTGATCGGATTTGTATCCAGCTCTGGCACAGCTTTCAATGTTTGCAATTGCGCATTTGCCGGACTCCGCTTTGGTTACCCCTTGGTGAGGCTAATGCGCAATATCCACTTACCCACACTCCGGCTCACTGGCTCACTGTTCGCTCCGAAGGCAGAGATAATTTTTAAGTGGGCTCGTCATGGTCTGTGGCTCCAGTAGGGTTATGCCAGCTGCTTCTGCACTTTGTTTAATGTTGTTTTTGTTGTCAACGCAAGTAAATCAAAGCTGTCATGTGTTTATGATATCATTTGGGCGATTTACCATTAGTTAAATTGCGCTTGAGTTGCTTTATAGCAGGATTTTACTTTAAAGTGCATATTGAATGCAAGAATGCCAGGAGATACCCTGTAATCCGCTTCGAATTGCCCTACAATTCATTTGTTCTAATGTGATACTCCTTGTTTCGCTTAGTCCTTCGAAACATATAAGAACTTTGCAATTATATGCTCATCCAGGTTAAATTTTAAACAGAATCTATGGCTGAGATCATAATTAATCAAATTTATGGACCATACCCCGTTGAAATAAGGGAGAAGTAGGCCTTGAGTCAGTTTTCAAGGGCAATTTCAATAAATTTCATGTACATGTGAGACGATCTTTTTTCAGTTTAACAAGTAAGTAAATTTGGCAAATCTTTTGTTTGTTTCTAAATTTCCATATTAAATATATTATTTAGGCTAATGTCGTTGGTAGCTTTTTGAGCTGAAAATAGATTTGTGTATAACTTGGCTTTGTGCAAATTGTTTGCAGCAATCCAGCGAATTATTCGAGTCAACATCTGCTTACAATGCGTATGAAGCTCTGTCGTTTTGGATGTGGTATACCCGTGCCCAGGAGCTGTTGTAGACCATGTGGGATTTTATCACCTGGCTGTGCGAAATGCTGTTTTACTTACTTTGGGTTCTGCCCCGACAATTGTTGCGGTCCGTGTTTTGAGTCATGCTTTGATCCGGCTTGGTTCACCTGGTTGGCGCCAAGATAGTGTCGCCTCTCGCATTGTCGCTATGAATAATTCTGGTGGGTTATTGCAAGAATTGGCCAACAATTTTCACTTAGTTGTATTTGAACTATTTGATTTTAAGTAATAAAGCCAAGGAGAAACCGAGTTTTGAAGCTTTTACATCTTTCAAAACTGTGCCTGATCATCACATCAGGTAACTACTGTACAGGCCCCACTTTTACATGCATATAAGTCAAATATTAATTTAAATAATAGAGAGATAATCCTAATCTGTGTAAGAGATTCACATAGCATTCATTTCGGCTTGCGGCAAGCCCAATCAAATCTTTGCCCATTTTGATGATATTATTTGCGAAATAGCTCAATACCTGAACCTTAACTAAAATCAATCGTAAAATAGTAATAAATATTTATTGTTGCTGTTGATGCTGTTGCTGTAACACATGTAAAGATTATAAAAATGAATTTTTATGATTGACCAAGGCTTGGCAGCCAGCGACCCCATCCGAGCGACCCTTATACGCTGAAATTTTAAAATCAGGAATTGACGATTATGCAAAAATCCACAATACACCTTTATGGCAGGGGCGGATATGCGGCAAAGGGTCTGCCCGTATATATCGTATATATATAAGTATATATGTGATTTCTTACCACCTTCTGAGTATGACATTTGTTTTATGCCTACTTCAGGCTGCGGTCGCATAAAGCCGCCTTCCTTGGGCAACACATGAGAACGGCCTGCGATAAAAGTTAAATATGCAAAGATGAAAATCTATAATTTTTTATGAGGTTTTCCTGCGACACCGGCCGGCTCTCGAGTTATGAGCAGGGGCGGGGCGGGGTGGTAGTGGCACAGTGCGGCCATGTTGCCACATTATGTCGCATTTTTATGTTGCTCACTCGTGTGTTTTTGGCACTAATTTGCCGACCCCCGCCCCTTGCCCTTGCTGCCTTCGACTGGGACGCAATTTGTTGCGGTTTTTCGGCATTGGCGAAATTTGCGCAATTTTTACGATTCGAGATTTGCACGAATTATACATATATATATATATTTTTTATAGTTTTACAATATGTCGACCCAGCTCGGCCATCAAAGTTGCATTTGCTGTTGTTTTGTATGGAATTCTATATATTTTCCGCTTACTCCTGCGTTCTAAGGTTAGGGTGTGTGCAGCGTAGGGGGAGTGGAACATAAGGTAGGGAAATGAACTGAGGAAAGCTAATGTGAATGTCCCAAAAGCAGCCAGCTTTTATGTGTATGTATTTGCCTACCCCACACCCGACCAATTCAAATAACTGGTTAAGGGTGACATTATCGAATAATTTCATAGTTCCTTTTTCAAGCATAACTCGAAAACTATGACACGGAATTCAATAGCATTTTTTGAGTAAGAGCTGAGTACAGGATATCTGCCAGTCAGACATTCGACTTGCTTTAAATCCTTTATCGAAAACTGATTGGGCATTGTAAAGCCTTTAAAGCATGGACATTTTTGTGAGTTCTTCTAGTCGACTTTGTGAGTATATTGTCCATGTCACTCGAAATGTGAGTCTTGTTTATGTTTGACTTTTCAAAAACCTTCCATCCGAATATCATCAAAAAATTACAACACGTGTTTGGGCTAACACCGTAAAGACAGGACAGCCTCTTAGCTGCAACAACAACAACAAAAAAAAAACAACCCGCGCATTGTTTTGCCCACTTTTTTAATGGCTGTGGCCGCAAAACAAATCCCACGGTTTGTAAACTCTGTAAAATGTTATCTCTAATGCTTGGAATTTAAATTTTTGGCGCATAATTTACATGAACATTAAACGAGCAGCAAACAGCGACATCCACATGAATGATGAGGCGTCGGCACGCGGCCAACCGCAGATACCCTGCCTCCGCCCAGCCGTGGGATGTGCCAACAGGCAACTATTAAACGCTTAATGGCAATTTCATTGTATGGCCAGATATTAGTTACCCGATAGCCTTAGCGAGTCACGGCCACATGTTTTGTTGTGATTACATGCGAGTTGACACGCCGATTTGCCGCTCTTCTAGGGCGTCTCCGCCACGTGACCAGGTCACGTGTCGCCAATTCGGCCACAAACAAAATGCTACAAGTTATTCCGCCCGCTTTAACTCGCCGCAATGCCCTCTATTCGAGCATGTTAGCCAAGCAAAGTGGTTTGAGACGAGAATCAAACAAGGTTGATATCCATTTCTGGATAGAGTATACAAGTATATAGTATAAAATCTACTTAAAATGTATTTAAATGTTTGTCTAGCTACAATTTTGTTAAATATAGTTTATATAGTAAGCTATGTATATATCAATGTAAAGAAATGGAATTAAAATAATGCATACATTATTTTCTCACATAATCTCAAAAAAATACAATTCCTTTTAATCTCAGTAACTATTAAGTTAGCTTTTTAGTTCTGAAAGGGTATTGGAGTGTCGCCTATGGTTAGAAATTTTGTTTGGCTACTGTTTGTGCCTTTTAATGTAATCAAATTATGAAAATATAATATGAGAGCGTCCGTAAGTCAAGTTGCCAAAATGTTGAGTGATTGTTTTCGCACGGCGTGCGCCCTCGCCCTCGGCTCGCCTGCTGTGATTCACTTAAGCCACCCCTTTGGGGGCGACCAAATAAATTATATTTAAAATGCTAAGCCCCGGTACCCGTACCCAGTCCCTCGACAGCGTACTCCACCCAGTGGGTGTTTCTATTTCAACACTTGAGACCCACTCAGTTTGCTCCAATTGGATTTATGCCTGCGCTTAGAGGCCGACCAGGGTGGTTCAGTTGTGGGCTTCGTGGATTTGCTGGGTCGCTGGGCTTTTCGGTGTCGGTGACTCGTCAGACCGCCCACGAGGATTTGCTTATTACATTGAAAAACATTAAACTCTTACACAATGTTGCTTTGCTGTTGTTTTTGTAATTGGTAGCCCTGTTTTTTTTTTCCTTCTCCTTTTGTCAAAATGACACATCACGAACTTTTCTAATTTGTTTATGATAATTTACGCATTATGTAATATTCTGAGACATGTCTGGTAGTCATTTATTATGGAAAGAGCGCTGAAAATCCAAGAAATACAGGCTACCATATTCTGTAAAGATTAGTTGGATACAAGAGTATTTACGAATTTAACATGTTTCCCTTTACTTTTACCTAGAGAGTTCAGAAAGTGCATGTCGCTTTAAAGCAAACGACTTCATTATTTGATAAGCATTTTGCGTCCAGTTAAGCCCCAAGCACAGTTTCCACATCTATTCAACTTCAAAGACGAGTCCCTGGCTCGTGTGTAATCAATCTCAGTGTTGTGCGCAATATGCGCAGATTAATTAATTTGTATTAACATACACACACACACTCACGCAGTTGTTGTACAATAATTAATCAAATCAAATGCATAAGTTCCAGTAATCATATGCGCCGTGATGGTAGCAACAACTGGAAAATCAAATCAGCGCCCAAAATGCGCTTAACTTGCATGTCAATTACAGCTGGCGAATGCGGCACTTGCGCCGCAATCCCCTCTCCGGAGTTGGCTCAGCTAATATTCAAAGTCAATCGGCGGAACTCATGAACTTGTCGCACGGCGCTCGCAATAATAGATCGGGGTTTGGGCCACGATTATTCATGCCTCACGCATCAAATATATGCAAATCGAATGCGAATACGGAAATTGGCAATGCGGCAACGCGGCAAACGGCGCAACTGAATATCGATATAATTTTCATTTTGGCCAATTTCATGCTAAATATGCCGCCATTTGCGTTTAATAGTTGATAAGCCCACAAAAAAAAATAAAGAGCCGCGCGCAAGATGCAAATTCAATTTTGCCAGCTAAGTTCTGACTGCAACGAATTGCTATACCCTAGCCGAAGTTTCTATAAAAATGTCATAGACTATGAAACGCATTGAGATAGCCTTTTTAAGCCCACTTCTATATTCGATTGGTCTTGAGAACTACTTAGTTATGCTAATGAAACTTTAAAGAAGATAACAAAACTTTCAGCTCAATATAAATTTGATTCTGATATTGAAACATTCATTATCTTCTATAAGACCTCATTAAATCAGGGAACTTTCTGAGTGTGTGCACTCCCGTTTTCCACACTTGCGGGTGAATTCAAACATATAATATGCGTGGATCAGTCAGCCAGGATCAAGTATTTTATGTATAAAGATTATCTAGTATAATATTATATATCAAAGTACCTCTGCTGATTTAGATATCGATTGAAAATGCCTTAAAAGGGTATTGAATGTAGGGCCTGATGTAGACAGCTGCTTTTTTAATAGATTGCCATTTTTTTTTATTGCATTTTGAGTGGGTTGCCTTGGCTTTTGGCTGGGCGTCAGGCTTTTTTAATTTTTCTAAAAAATGCATTGTCAGATCTGTGCCGAGATTTATGCACACGCAGCTGTGTGTTGTAATTTTTAGCATAGATTTCGATTTTTTTTTTGTTATTTCTGTTTTATTTTACTTTTTTTTTTCAATTTTTAGATTCTTTTGCTGCTGGCCGCGATTTATTGTGCGCAATTTTTTCTATCTTTGCGCGCTGGACGCGCACATTGAAAACGAATCACGTGAAATCTAAATAGCATCATAAATCAGAAAACGACGGCAGGTTGCTTCGCTGTGGATTCGCTGTGGATTCGCTGGATTCGCTGGAAACGCTTGGACTCGCTGCCATGCGTTGCATTCGGTTTTGGTCTCCCCGTTTCGGCCAGACAATGATAAATGTTGAGCCCCCCGTCCGAGCCAGCCCGTCTCAAAAATAGAACAGAATGGCGAATGCGTCGCTCGACTCTCATGTGTATGAAAATGGCAAATCGCTAGACGGCCTTTGATTGCGCGAAACTCCCCCTTCTTTGGCATATCGTGCGGAATTTGTGCGGAAATAAAAAACCAGGTAGCACCGGTCATTTGCTCAGCATGTGCCCCAGGCATATAAATGCAAATACCGCTCTCTGGCCGCCCATAAATATAAGTGAGGGTGTGGCTGTTGTGGGTGGCTAGTTTTGTCCTTGGAGACCATACGAAACGGCAATGCCTTATACGCCCTTTGTTTATTTATTGACGCCGTGTAGCTTGCCAATTCTTATAACTTGTGTGATAGTCTTTCTTACTTTACGGTTTTCGTTTATTTTTTTTTTTTTTTTGCTATGATTTATGTTAGATGAAGCGATTGCCAAAAGTTCACTCTAGGCATTTTAATGCGCTTTTAAAATATACCTATATACTCCAGAAACTAGATCAAATAAATGGAGTCGGTTAGCAAAACTGTTGAAGGCAAGCTCATATTTTATTTTATTATTTAATAGAAGTATTTTTGTATTTCGTACTGTTTGCCAAATAATATTTAATCTGCATTCTACATTATGGAACTAAGCGGGCAGTCACATTTTAACATTTTCAATTTTAAGGAAATTCAATAAAAGTAAATGACAATTATTCTGCTCAGATTCCTAAGTTACCTGAACCTAAGTTACTCAAAAAATGCATATTATACCCACATGCCACAGAATGCAACTTCTGCCCAAGCAGTTTTTAGAGTCAAACATTTGACTTTGATTTTCCTAATCATACGGAAAGTGATTTACATCAACAGCAACTGCCAAGGGGTCGCTCATAAAATGAGATTGTTTTAATAATATTACGAGTTTTACGAGTATTGCTCGCAATTACTTAGTCACACCCGAACCCGTACAGAGCACTTGACTCATTTGGCCAGCACATAAGCAGATTAATTATGCGACTTTTGCTATTTGCCGCGCACACAGATTTTCAGCAAAGGGGATCGCATGTGGTCGCCATCATGATGGTTGGGTATGGGGCGGAAGTTGGGGAGTTTCGGGTTCTCTAATTATACGATAAGCACAAATTGACCTCCAGATGCGGCCGCCTATTTACCCTGCTGTAAATAGCATAGCTATATTACGTCCGGATGCGTGTCCGTGTTCGTGTAATGTTATTAATACATAAATCTGAATATTAATTTCGCCTCGCCGTCCGAATTGGATTATGAACTCTCATATGGTAGAGAATGTTCAGCCATTTATAAGGCTTTCGGTTTAGCGGCATTTTCGGTTGATTGTTTGTAATTAGAATTAGAAATTTTGTGTGTGCATTGCCTTTTCCTTTTATTGTTGTTAACACATGCGTATGCCATGCCATTATTATTTATAAAAGTTAAATGTTTCCCATTCGTAAGCACAAAATTAAACACAGTTTCTGTAATGTTTCGCTCGAAAATATTACTTAATATTGCGCCTGACTTGGACTAGTTTTGCGCCTTATGTGTGGCACATTAAAATTCTTTATGATTGGGTCAGATTAATTGTGTATATCTGTTTGTCCCCTAAGAAATACTTTATAGTGGTGCCGAACAGCCTGTGCAGAGAGTTAAAGACAAAGTAATACAATGCCATAGCCATAATCCTGCTTAGACCCGCTTCATATCCAAAAGATTTCATGCCAGTAAAAAAATACCATTAGCAATACATGATTCCAAGAACTTAGTTTGAGCTACAGTTACCTAGCAAATGTTTGTTGACAGTCTTTTTGAGCAATAAACCAAAATAAGCTCACAATTCCAGTGCTCCTCTATTTATTTGCCTATTTACCTCGAGCTGGGCAAAAGTTCCTTTTGAAGCCACAAAGAAGCAAACAACCCAAAAACTATGCGAATGGAAGCAGAATAAACTAATTGCAATTAGAAACTGATTTACTTAATTTGTTTACTTTGCGGTGTCGTTTGCCCAAAGATGTGAGCCAAGTTCCAAATTTATGGATGTGGGCAGATTTTTGGCATATTTTTGCAAACACAACTTTAGACATTTGCGGTTGACTTTTGTGCCAAGGCAAAAATGATTGAAAATTTATGGAAATTTAATATTTAGCCATGGCTTGATTAGCTAATTGATATGCCTAAGGTAGTAGTTAATTATATTAAATTGTGTTGGTAGAAAAGTAAATAAAGCGAAAAATATATATATTTAAAAACTTACCCACATTTTATGAGTTATTTTTCCGTAAGTAGACTTTCAATGGGGATTAATTCTGCTTTCACAAACGAATATCTGTAAAAAATTGAAGAAAGAAAAACAGTTTTAAGGAATCATAAAGAAATCACAAAAATTGGATTAGAATTTATTGCCAATTGAAGTAAAATCAAACCTTTTCGGAATAGTGAAAACCTTTAATGTGACAGCATTTGTTGCGAATCTGGCTTTGATTTATGCAATGTCGTCGCTCTTTGCTCAACTTATGATCAAGTATATTTCATTTAACCATCCACTAAATAACGCGACGCCTTGCAAAATTCTAAGTAGGAACATATATCAAATGGGGTAGCAGCCAAACTGACGTATCCATGCATTACCACAAGTTGCCGTGGCTAAAGTCGCTGACAAAGCTTTTAGTGTCAGTTGAAGCCATTCCGTGAATGCTTCTCCCTAAGCCAGGGACCTCCCATGGCTGCCCAAGTGATAATTGAATTAGAATATGGCGTCTCTCATACACACACACACACACACGCACGCACACAAAAGCACTTGGCTATAACTTTGCTGAAACAAAAAATACAACACATGTGCGACATCATTTGGACTGGTTTCCGGCTGGGATTGGGGTTGGGGCCGGGATGGGATGGGTGCTCGGGGCTGTAGCCAAAGAAATATTATGCTTTTAACAATTTTAGCATTTTCTCCATTTACATACATCTTAATTATTTCTCAAGATGGTTTTTGTGTGGATTACAAAAACACACACACACATACCAAGGGGTATGACATGTGTGGCTGAGGGTTGTAAAATTTAACTGGTAGCATCCTTGGCGTCGTCGTCATTTATACATTTGCATTGCCAGCTAATTTGCTTAAATGTTTTTAGGTGCCCCGCTCGGCTCTCCGGATCTGCTGCAATAATAATAACGTGCGACTTTGTCGTTGAGCATATTTTTACGATTTCCTAGATTACGACATGAGAGGATTTCGCTAATTACTTCTCCTTGCACACACACACACACACACACACACGCACACATGTGTATGACTGGGCAGGGAAGCGGGGAGTTGTGGGTTTAATTAGCGCAGCGCACCATTAGCGTTCCTTATTAATTTTCATGCGCAACTCCTCGACCGACAAATATTAATTGCAATTTAAATGTTATCGCAGTATTTGAATTTGGCGCCAACACAAAATATCATTTGCTTGCTGGAAATCAATTTGAAGTGCCGCCGCGTTAATAGTATCAATTCTAAAAAATGCTCTTAGGGTAAGCGTATTCAATTTCACACAAATTCAAAAAGTCGCAGCCAGTCAGAGAATAAAAAATTGACAATGCCATCAAAAGCTACCCCTAATTATGTGCTTACCCTAAATATGATCGGTTAATGATGGCGTAAAGAATGAGCAACGATATCAATGAGGGATATAACAAGAGAGAACAAGCATGAGAGAGAGAGAGAGAGAGAGAGAGAGAGAGGGGCGATGGACTGTTGATCAACCCCCGGTTGACTTTCTGTGCAAGTCGGAAAGTCAATTGGGAATAATTAATTTAGCTAAAATCCTTTTGTATTCCCCATTCAGCCGAGTGTTTTGCCACGTTTTTGATGAGGGACTGACAGTGGCTGTGAAAAGTAATTTGTGCACTAATAAGGCATCCCTATATGATAAATAAAATGCACTGCAAGAAATCCTTGATCAAAGCAGAAGGATAAAAGGATTTGAAATCAAGTCTGACAAGTTGTTAATAAAGAAAACGCAAATGTTGTGAAATGTTTTATCACATATTTAGTGTGACGAAAATTGGTATTAAATAGTTTCGATAAATATCCATAAAGACAACTCTGTCTATATATAAAACTAAATCAAAATATGCTATATTTTGCATTATTTATGCCTCAGATATGTTCGCAATTTACCCTAAAATTTTGTTCAGTGCATTTACACGACAACATTTCGTCCGCTTTCCCCTATATCCTCACACTCATATACATAATCGCATTTACACTAATTGGGTGACGGTGATCAATCAAAAAATATAAAAAAAAAAACAACAAAATAGAAAAGAAGCAGCCAGGGAGATGAACTTCAGCAAGAGTCGGGACATTGTCAAAGCAACAGTCGCCCGTAAACCTGAAATTGAACTCAATGAACCGATTTCCGGTTGTGCGTGTGTGTGTGTGTCGGTTACCTGAACCAGATTGTGCATTTCGCCAGCGATAAACCCCTCAACTGTAAAAACGGAAGCAATGCGACGCAGCTGAGTCGACTTTTGGCACGACCCGACTTCCCCCCCAGGAACTCGTTGCCTTTCTATCTGTTGTCACCGCTGCCATTATCCTTGCTAATTTCGCAGCTCAATGGGTCTTTGGAATTGCGTTTGGCTCTATCATTCGGGTGATCTCTAATTGCGCAGCTTGCCAGCGTATTACAAGCAAAACGATAGACCCGATCTACATCCAGAGACGAGTCGGGTATTAAGTGTGATAAATGCGTTTTTAAAAAGGCCCGAAAACAGGCTGGCCGCGTTAAAGGTAGTTGATTTAAGTGCACGCAACTCTGATACAAATTGTTATCGTCTTGTTTGTTGTTTATTATTAATTGATTGCCTTTGTATCTTTTATGACATGTTGATTTTGATCAGCAAAGCTACCTTCCGTTGTCTTTGGCTGGCTAAAAACCCAGCTGCCGATTGCTAGAAAGTGACGTCATTTGGGTGCTTTATATGGGAGAGTATTCGCATTCAGTCACGCAGAAAGCGCCATGCAGGCATATCAAATGGTGTGGAAAAAATGTATTGAAAAATCGTACGTATTTCCACAAAAAATCATAACATCTGCAATTAATCCGCCTGTCAGTTCACCGATTCCTAGACTGAACCCAAAATGTCATTTAAGGGCTAAACTGTCGCGTGAACATGGAATTGATTTTTATAGATATTTATAGATTAAAAATTTTCCACATAAGCACAAAAAAAAAAATAAAACTGAAGGAAGTAGCTGCAAAGGACGAGCATTTGTAGCATAATTTATTCGATTATTTCGATTTGCTCTTTTTTTTTCCTTATTTTGGGTTAGGTTGCAACCCTCATATGTGAAAGATTATGAACTTGAAATGGCAACAGTGGCAAACGGCAAACAGCAAACACAGACATTGGACGCGAGAAATAGAGCGAGAGATAGAGCGAGAGAGAAAGAGAGAGAATATGTGGCTGAATTTTATGAGTTTGCTTTTGCAAGAAGACAACCCACCCGGAATTGAGTTACTTGCTGCTAAATGAGGGACACTTTCCAGCCCAGCCCATTAAATTAAAAGGCCATAAATTACTTGGCTTTAATGTCAGTTGAAGATTTTCGCAGGCAGTGTGAATTGCATCAACTCTTATTGATTGCCTGCCCCTGCCGAATAGTTTATTGAGTTCGGTTACCATTTTATGCGTTTTTCATTGAATTCATGTAGCTACCTTAAAGTTGAGCTAAGCATTCTCAGTCGAGATAACTAAATGATCATATTTTTAAAAAGAAATTGAAATGTTAAACTGAAGGGAATCTTAAAGATAAAGCAATTAAGATGTGTATTGTATGTTTGTTTAAAATAAAAGCGCATTGTTAAATATGCAGAGCAATAATAAGTATTCAAACATTGACCTAAATAGTAGAGACTGCATTTGTCAAATTATAGATTGTTACTTGACTTTAAATGTAATATATAGTAGAATAAACTCGAAATTAGTAAAGAAATCTTGGAATATTATGTTTAAATATAAAAATCAGATGGTCCAAACTGAATCTTTATATTTAATTTTTCCGTTCCTGTTTATATTATATAATAACTAATATTCCAAGGAGAAAGACTATTGATGATAAAGGATTGTCAGAGGTGTCTCCTTTTGACTATATCGCATTGATACACACTATTTTGCCCATTTGTAATGGGCGCAGGGCATGAGAATGAAATTCGCTACAGTCATATTTAAAACCTTAACGCCTATTAATAACAATAGATGTCTGTCTGCTGCCGATTTGAGCCATAAAAATGGTCAATTAATAAACTGTTGCGTAGCTCATCGGACAAGGTGACAAACGTTTAAACAATAGAAATTGATGAGATCCTGTAACGCATGCATTATATGGCAAATTAATTGTATTCCCCGCGCTGCCAAATTGTCAATCAAAGAGCAATAAATTTAGCAGCTGGGGCAGGCGAACACCAATAAATGAGGAGAACGTCGTACAGATGAGAATATTGTTATTATAAATAACAGCAAACGGATGCTGAATAAAAGAGAGAGAGAGAGAGAGAGAAAGGCTTTCACTATTTACTCTTTAGTAAAAGGATGAGAGCTGAGAGTGCAATGATTGCGACGAAAATATTCGCATTCCATCTATAATCTACTTTGGGAAAGTACAAAAAAAAAAACAAAATGAAGGCAAGATACGTTAGGGCTAAGTAAGTAGCGCACATCAAGCAATTACAAAAAGAACAACAAAGTCGCAACTAAAAGAGATACAACTACAGTTGCTTACACACACACAGACACACTCGCACAGACACCCAATATATATATATATATGTGTGTATGTATAAAATGTTCAAATCATCAAACAATAAACTCAAAATGGACTCCGTCGCTTGTCGCACGTTTCGTTGCTCATTTTCATGTCGAGCGCGTTAAAAAGCTAGCTCCCCACCACTCACTCACTCGCTCGCTCGCTCTCTCTGTCGTCTACCTCATTCACTCTCTCGCTCTCTCACTCTGTGTGCTGGTGTGTTTTTCTTATGCGCAGTTTCCGCGCAACGAAATGGAATCGAACGCAGGAAACCGCTTGGCATGGCCATTTTGATTGCAACCCTGCGCATGGCTCACTTACAGCTGGGGGCGTGGCCAGGCACTCGCCTCGCGTGCTCAAAGACTCACTCAATTTGAGCGTGTGTGGTGAAGATAATGCGCTGCTGCTTTGAGCTCATTGCCTTGGGCCTGATTACATTTTGACCTTCTCTACTTTTTTTGGGAAATGTTTTTGTTTCTTTTGTTGCGACGTGTTTGTTGCATTTTTAATAGGCTACCAGGGTAGCTCATTAACAGTCTAAGTTGATTGGGTCTGCATGAGATTTTTAATTAAAAATATTTAAAAAGGAATCTGGGCTAGGCAAACTAATTATTATTATTAAGCATTTCTATTCGAATTCAACTAGATATCGTTACTTATTTGGAAAAGCTTATTGCCAATAAGTTTGTAAGCATGAAAAAGGTGGTGAAACATTCTTGCACCAATTGAATTATTGATGAATTAAATACCAAACTAGCTACTTTGGAAACCTTTCTTATTTATAGAATTATTCTTATTAACGCCCCCTTCTTGGCTTTATTTTCTTTCGATTATCTGTCTAACCTTAATAAAAGCATTGCTTATGAATGGAGCCGATGCTTATTAAAATGAGATACGTACATTGTTTAGCCATAAACATAAACAACAATTCAATTTAATGTAAATAGGAAAAAAAAAAACAAACGCAAGAACAAGCAGAAGACACGGCATAATCAATGTCGTCTGTCTGCTAAAAAACAAAAAAAAAGAGGATGACAATACCAAGAGAGGGCTCCACACATGCACATACACACGCACACACACACTCACACAGACCCACACGTATATGGACATCCCCAAAATAGACAGAAGCAACTTGCAATGCTCGTATATCAGCATTGGAATCCACCCAGCAAAACCTAACAACGAAAACAATTTGGTAAGTTTTCGAAAATTTGCTGCACAAGCGACGGCAATGGCGACTGTGTTGCTGTGTGTGTGTGTGTGTGTGTGTGTGTGAGTGAGTTGGAGAGAGTCTAATCCTGCGAGCGGGACAGCAATACATTTTGGGAAGTCCATGTACAAAGCTTAGAAATAGACAGACAATAAAAGCTTCATAAAGCGACATTGCCGCCATTTGGCATTGTGTGTGGGAGCGAGCAAGCGATAGACCATCCATGAAGTTTCTGTTGATTTTTATCATTTATCGATTTCGAATTTGTGTCGAGGGACAATTTAGTAGATCCCATACCCAGTGTGTCTGTCTGTGTATGTGTGTGTGTGTGTGAGTGTGCCTCTGTTTCAGCGCTCCCGGACATTCATGAGGTGTCAGTTGAGTAGGCGGCCTGCGGGACAACAGGACTACGGGACTGCAGGACTGCGGAACTGCGGGGCTGCGGCGCCTGCAGGCCAAACAATTTGATGGCCAACTCCACTGGCTGACTGGCTGTGTTTTTGGCATTGGCAGATTGGCATAGCTGGCCTGTCATTGTCAGCCCAAATGCCCCGACAGCGGAGTACATTTTTGGCCTGGCTGTGTAGACGACTAACCAACCAGTCAGTGTATATGGCTATTTATGACTCTCGCATATTCTTCTTCTCGTCATTTTTCACGTTTTCCACAGGGCCCAAGCTATTGCAATGCTGCTCGCTATTTATTGATCTCTGACTAACCTTTAAATGCAGCTTAGAAACTGCATCAAAGAAGCAGAGAGTGGTAGTAGAATATATATATTGGGTGGTTTTTCTTATAACTTAACTTGAGTCAATGAAAAACTCAAGCTCGAGCATTTTCAATGATTGGATGTTAACAAAATGCTCGAAGCAAGCCTTCAACTAATGACAGTTCTATGCTGTTTGGCAAACCAAAATTGAATATTCCTGTTCCAAACATTTCTCGAATGGGAAAATATGATTAAACGGCCCCTTCTTTCGTAAAGCACATATTTCGAGTATAGGTCTATGCAGACTATCTAGAAAACGATTCCAAAAGTCTTTGATATTAAATATTTCGCATTGATCTTTCTAATGAACCGCTCCATATTTTATGCAATTCCATTTGGTTCATTCATCTCTAAACTCAACAATAAAGCAATTAATCAATTTTATTGACGCACCCGACACAAACAAAGCGAACCCAAACCAAAGTGGAATTCGCAAACCCTAAGAGACCCTCAGCAGCTTGCAATTTTTCAGCAAGCGGATTAACAGGATCGGTAACTCAAATGATACACGAGGGACACGTACGGGCATCAGTTCAGTTTGTTGTGTGATACTGAAATTCTATTAACCTCAGGCTCAATAAGCGGCTTAAGAGGATTTACCTGAAACCGAGCGATCGTAACCCGAACGGGGCACGTAGCTCATATATATGGTATATGTATGGCATGCAGCATGTTCCATATAACATTTACCATACGCCTGCGCAGCTGGAACGAAATGCCAAATTCAAAGGCAATTCACACTCGTTCGTCAATTGCTGGAAGTTGACTTTAGGCGCGTACTAAAACAAAAAGAAAATCACAATGAGCCGAGACCAGGTCCTGAAGCGGAAGTGTGCGGAAGTCTTTGCTGAAAGGAATCGCAACGACAAAACGTGCCTGTTGCCCTTTGCATGAGTTTGCAGATTGACTCCGAAATAGATGCCAACTGGGTCTGCGACTGCGACTGAGGCCAAAGCCGGGGCCTGAGCATTTAATAATTGATGTTTGATCTGGAATTTCACAACGTAATACGGCGGCTGTTTACTTTGGAGCGTACGAGTCCGCTAATGGCTCGTCGAGGCAATTATCGGCGATATGCTAATGGTATTTTGAATAGGTCATAGTCGGGCCTCTCTCCCGCTCACTCTATTGGGCCATTGTTTGCACAAAGCTGGAGAGCCAGAAAAACTTTAAGTATGATAAATGTAGCTCCATTAGGCATGGATTCATACATATAAGTAGTATATGCGCACAATAAGATTTCGGTAGTGATTCCAACATTGCAACAGAGTCATTAGCGGCACATCCTAACAAGCCTACCCATGGACACTCGTCGGGTCTAACTCCAAGGTGTTGGCTCTACTTGTTGTTCTTTTCAAGATACTCGCAATCTACTCACCCCAAATCTCTCACATATGCATTCGTCAAGTGCCCAAAGCTCAGGCATTTATTATTTGGTATGCCTCATTGTTCCATCAACCTGTTTCTATTTCATTCATGACTTGTCCAAGTTTTGATTGACAGTTAATCAATCTTTGGATTTTCGTTGATTCTTTTCACACATTTCCATTCATTTCGGTTCCGTTTTGTCTGCACCTTGTTGCCAGAAGAAACTCTTTGAGCTAATCCTTTTGACTGCAGTCCGGAATATTTGACAGATTGCCGTCTGACTTACTGATTGACTCTGTGACTGTATAAGCAGATTTCCGGTGTGTGTAATTGTTATGAGCCCTAAGCCCTGCATCAATTGTTGCTCTGCCTTGTGGGTGTTTCTGAGCTGATTTTCGGTGCGCATTACGGATTATTATTGTTGGCCACTCGTTGTGCGTAGGTTTTACTGTACATAGCACTATTAACTGATTTATATATATGATATATCTGTGTAAAGAGAAATGCATATAAATGATTTGCATAATTAATGTAAAGTTGCAATTTGTTAGCTCTTTTCAATGGCTCTTTGCTAATTTGATTAATTGACCAAAGCTCGGATTAAATTAAATATCATTCTGTAATTTCAAAGCTAGATGGAACTATATAAAACAACTTTTATTTTAGATTAAATTCCACACAATCAAAGTAGTTAGTTATTTGTATCATTTTATCATTTTATTCTTTATCAATTTGAAATAATTAAAATTAGAATTTAATTTAAATAAATTTTACATAATTTACTGTAGTATTTTCTTTTTATCATCATCAATATTATATTCATGGGAAGTGGCTAGCACTCCGCATATTTATTCATATTTCAACACAAGTCTCTTCGAATCCACGAAATTACAGTTAAATTTAAAGGATGCTTCAGCTTTGCGGATTTTCTTGAAAAAAACTATCAAACTAAACATACAATATGTAATAAATTCAGTAACTTGTGTGACTTAAGACGACTTAGCATTTAGAGCCCGGTTATTAAATACAAAATACCTAAATTCTATATATCTATGTACTTTAAAAATAAACATAAATATTTACACACATACTATATATGAAACAAGAGGGCAAATCGAGGAAGAAATTAAGTTGCGTTGACTTAAAAGTGACGTCTTCAGAAGACTGTAAAGTGGCAAAACCTTTTTTTATATTTTCTTTGTTCTTGTTGTTGTTGTTGTTGTTGCTGCTGTAGTTCTTGTTGTTTGACTAGCTAATAAAAAACTGAAATGCCCGACAAATGTTGCGAACCTTTCGGTGTGTTCGAGTTTATTAGCTGGCGCTATTGTTGTAATTGTTGTAATTTTCTTGCATATCCTTTGCCGTTTGGTAAATTCGTTTTAATGACGATAATTATCCTGGTGCTGTTGCTGTTGCTGCTGATGCTGGGAGCTGCTGCTGCTGCGACTCCTTTTGCTTTGGACGGGTGCCTCGCCCATGTCCAGGCTCTCGTTGTCGCTATCCATGGTCTCGCTGCAGTCTCCATCGTTGTCGCCGCCCATGTCGTCCTGTTTCCGCTTGGCCGTGGCCATTTCCGCCGCATGACGTTTGCGCCATTTGGTGCGACGATTCTGAAACCAAACCTGTAAAATCCCAAATTGTAATGGAAAACTTTAGCAATGCGTGCGGCGAGCGTGTGTGGGTGTAGCGAGTGTGTGAGTGTGTGGCAAGGCAATTTAAGTTTTAAATAAGCGCAACACAAGTTTCGTGTGTAATTAGGCAGCAAGCAGTCCAGCAGAGCCCATGTGGCACACATTGTCAAAGTCATTAAGTCGAGGCCCGTCACCCATTTCCCGTCTCACAGCCCATAAGTCGCATCATCAACGCCGGTTAACCCTCAATTAAGACAATATTAAGCCCTGGACAGCGTTCGCAATGCCGTTGCCATTGCTGTTGCCATTGCCATTGCCCAACAGCAGTTACACAACGCAAAAACAGCAAAAACTATGCAAAACCATGACTAACATCTTTGGTTGCGCTTCATTTTCCGTTTTGCAACCGCCTCATTGTTGAACGCCGGCCCCTGGCAACATATGTTGCATGCCCGCCCAGCCAGCCAGCCGCTCGAGCTCGTTGCTCTCGGTCCCAGACCGAGGCACAGCCTGACGGGGGATTTATCTGCATAGGCCTAGACACGTTTTTTCCTGGCATGTGCTGCTGCAAAATCGGGCATAATTTCTACATTTGCTTGATGATGGAGCACTTTCACCAAATCAGGCCAGGCCTCAGCTCATCATGGCAAGCATGTTGTAGCTCAAGTCATAAACAGCGCTTTTAAGCCTCCATTTTAAGTACAATTAAACTATTTGATAGGCGCATATTGTTAGCGTTTTCAATTCCTTGAGTTAGTTTGGTTTGGTGGCGTGTTCTCTTAAGGTAAAACTGAGATTCTGCTCACTTAATGTTCAGTCCATATCCCGGATATTTTCATAAATACCTGCTAGACAGTTTATTGATGACATTTTATGCAAAGACTGTTTCAATAAACAATTAACTGTGCGGCATTTTAATGAAAATAATAACGTATACGTCCATGGCTTGCGAAAATCAGCGCGTGAAACGACCCAAAGGTGCAATTAAACCAGATACAACATAATTTACAGCTTCATTTGCACATTTGTGTAATTATTATTTGCAACATTATGCGAAATAAAAATACAATTATTATTTTTTCGTGTGCTACATGCCGCAGCCTGCCAAAGAAAGCGACAGAGGCCAAGGAGACCGGAGACCGGAGTCTGGAGGCTGGTGACTGAAGTTTGGGGCGTCTTTTTTGGCCCAGCACAGACAGGCAACAACAACATTAGTTGGCATCATTAAGGCTGCTTTTCATGGTCATTATTTTTTGGTAACAGCTGTGCCCATGTTGTTTGGGATTTGCCCGGCCAAAACGGGAGCTTGTGCCTGCCTGGTCGGGGTAGGTCTTTCGTTCACTTCGGCGTGGCAGCTTGGGCAGCAGCCCCTGCCGTTTGCGACATCATAACGATGGTGTATGCGTCATCTAGCACCCACTAAAGCATAGTTTCCAAGTGGAAGGCAACAGACTGTTGAATTGAAGACTTGTCACTGTGTTTGCACATGAGTTGCATGCTTAAAACCTTAAGAAGCGCTCCAAGAATTACGATTTTTTATCAAAATTAAATGGCATCAGCATCATAAGTTTCTCATGAAATGTGCAACTCGTAGAGGAAGACTTTCTAGTCAAGTCACATTTATTTTATACCCGATTCAAACGGAGCACTATCACAGGGCTTCCATAGAGAACTAGACAAAGATATGTGCCAGTTAGAAGAGTACAGGTACTTGTTACAATCAATTAATGTTATTATTATTTTCCTTTTGCGTTATAAATATTGCCAAAGTGTCTTGATCTGGCTCCGACAGTTTTAGTTGAAATATGCGCATCGGTTTTATGGCCACGCATGACGAGATCAAGATCGCCTTAGAAGCGAGGGAGCTATGGCAGTCGAGGAGACACACTAGGAAATTTATGACAGCCAACATGTCAAAGTCAATCAAATATTGTGGCAATCAATTTGACGTGGCAGCGTTACGCTTCGATTGGTTGCACGGCATGGGCTTGGGGTTGGGGATTGTGTGGCACTGGATGGGTTTGTGCACATGGATTTATTTATTGCGGCCAGGAGGCGATGCAGAGTTATAAAACATATGGCAATGTTTTGGTCAGTCGTCTGACGTTTTTGGCACCGCTGCGGGGCGTCCGTCAGGTGTCGGGTCCAGATAAGGATGAAAAGCGTTATGTAAATTTCATAGGAACGGATGTCAAAATCAAACCTTTTATTTTCGTGTGCCGCACTCCGGCACTCCGGCGTCCACTATTGTGCATTTGGTCTCGGCCTCGGCGATGGCAAATATATGACTTCTGGCCAAATTGGAAATTTATTTGTTTACGCGCGTCCAGTTCGTCGGATCGGGTCGCCCTGGGTACTTAAAAGTCATGGAAATTTACAGCATGGCTGCTCGCACACCTTTAAAACCCGTTGCCCGCCCCTGATTGACTGACAAGTTGCAGTTTGACCCGGGTTTTTTTCTTTTTCCTATTGGTTAACATACATTCTGTTGTTGTAGTTCTGGCTTTTAAGAGTGGCTCGTAAATTTTAAGCTGAACTACAGGCTCAACCATCCCTTTATATGGCGGTATTTATGTGAGTATATTTATTGATGTGAGTTTCTGATTTATTTGCGTTTTGTAGCCCATCAACGTAAAGTCGCAGCGCACATAAAATCTGTTTCTATTTGACTAATTGTGAGTCGAAAAGTGTGGAGCAATGGCGCAGTCGCTGATAGCGCTTTAAATGGGCGACCTCTCCATCTCATCTTATTGGTAGTTCTCCATAGAATTTCTCTCCATTCATTAACACACAATCAAATCCATTAGCTGGCAACAATGGGCCAGCTGGTATTTCGGGTGTTCTATACGATTCCCAAAAATCAATTAGACAATATTTCACATATCTGTCATAAGTTTTATGATCAGCCTGTCCCATTGTCAACTTGTCGGCTTGTCACTTGGCCACAGCACAGTTCCATCGCCTTTGCCCGATGCCATTGTCACTTTTGACAAGCGCTACGAATCGATTTGGTCTATAAGCTTTCAATATACCTGTGCTAATTATGCGGTGAGTGCTCAATAAAATTATATACTAAAAACATGTTATAGGCAATATAAGCTATAAACTAAAATTTAGTTAAAACATAATTTTAACCTTTGTTTTAGCTATACGTTTAAGCTTAGCTTCAAGTAATAATGCCATTTTATATAATATCTGCTATTTCTCTAAGTCGACTTATCATAAAGGCGAATGAACCTAGATGTTCATTTCCAGTTGGAAAAACATGCTTATTCCTAATTTATTCAACTCTATATGCTTCACTTTCATAGTTCAAATGTTTGTATGCAAAGTATATCAAATTACCTAAGCAATAACATGCTCTGAGGACCCTCATAAGCCACATGCCCAATCATTTCTCTATGTCGCATGTGTTTACATGCATGCACTCGACAATCATTGCCAAAATCTCATACATTTATGCAAAAGCTAAATCACGAAAAAGCTATCACAACGAATCATGCAATAATATTATGGCTTGTACTAACTACACAAGTCCATAAAGACGCAAAGCTGGAATGTCATTAATAATGGCCGCAGACGCTATAATTCACAGAATGAGACAGCAGGAGAGAGAGAGAGAGAGAGAGAGAGAAAGGGAGAGCGAGATATAAGAACGTACAAAATGGCGACCATTTGCATTAAATGATTGCTAAAATGAAATGTCCCTCATACGGGAGTAGGTTGAGTCTCTGTGCTGTGTCCAAAAACGCTTTTAATTATGATAACAGCGCAATTATTCTTGTCAAGATCATTTGGCATACGGCGAGCTGCAGCCACGCCCACACTTGAACACCCACACACAGGCACACACACGCACACAGACAGACAGACAGAGACTGCCTCTGACTGTTTTGCATTTTGTGTGTCTGTCATATTTTGGGGCTGTGTGCAGTGCTTGTTGTGTTTTTGTTTGTCAATTTGCATACTATCATCGTCATGGCTGTTTTTCATCTGGGTCTTCTGCAAGAGGAGCTCTATCCGGTCCGGCCGTCTGCCCACACGCCCGAACATGCACACACACGCACACTAATTGAATATGTATGAAGCGGATGTCGTCGTTGTTGCGTCCTTGCACAGAATTTAATTTACACTCACCCAAAAGTCATGCAGTCATTTGGCATGTCTATCAGACAGAGGCCAACCCAATCCTGCCCTGCACTCATCCATCCATCTCACTGACCATTTGTACTCGTCATCAGGCGCTTGCCTTTCCCTCTCTCTCTCTCGCTAACTATCCCTTTCTCTGTCTCTTGTTGTCCCTGTATCTGTTTAGCCCCTGCACAAATGACGCATATTTAGCTGCAGCTCAAGCCATCAATCCTGCGCTTCTCATCTCCTGCTCCTGCTTCCTGCCTCACAGGCTGGCTCTACATAGAAATATTCTCGTTCCGTATGCCTCACAATGCCAACGGCCTCATTCATTGGTAATTAATCATTTTACTCATCATAAACGTGATTTCTTATCACTCGCCTATCTCCTAAGCCAAGGCCCTGATTTGTGCACAGTTTTTGAAGGCCGAGGGCAGAGCTGACGGGGTTAACGGCGTGCTCTATTTGGACTTGAGCAAGGGGTCTGTAATAATTAGGGTCTACAAATTGACCGACAAATGGGAGCGTCTACTAATAATATTGCAATCCTGAAATATTGTATGTTATATAAGCTATAGAGGAAAATTTTCTCTCCTCCCAATTTGGATTTTGACGGAATTGTGCTATTAACTAAACGATTGCCGTTTTCTACTTTCTATTCTATTAGCTCATTCTTTTTACTAGAGTACTCAAGGTGATTCATAACTCATTAGTTTCTCTTTACGATGTCATCATTCATTTAAAAATCACATTTAGACTCATGATATCATAAGTTGCAACTGTCGCTTAGCTAAGCGGAACTCACCGCAAAACCAATTAACTACCCGGGCTTACGACTAATTTAAATGGCAAACCCAAAGAGATCCGAAAGCCGCGTCGCACACGCGACTTAGTGGCAACGGCAATGACACGTGCGTTTCTGGTGAGGATTACAACAGCGATGATGGCGTTGGAGATGGCGACGCCGCTCAACAAATTTGACGACACAAAGGATTTATTTGTTGATAACATTTCAGCCGAAGGGTGGGCGAAAAAACAACCTTCGGCGTAAACTTTAAAATAACGCGCACGGAAATGGTTTTTTTTTCGGGCTGTCAGGGGAGGGACGGACATGTGAACTAAGCCTTTGGGGCATAACCCACTGGGACAGGAAGGGCTACTGATACCCCTGTGGCAGACCATTGGCGCCATTTTGTTTTCGGGCTTCGGCAAAAAATAAACCAAAAATCCATGAGCTTTGCGTTTCAATAAAAATGCAAATTGCCACAAAACATCAAAGGCGGGGTAAAACTGGGCGGGGCTGGGCGGAGCGGTGATGTACGGACGGTTGTTCGTATCTTTTACCTTCGTGTTTTTTGTTTTTTGGTTTTTTTTTGTGTGTTTTTGAGCGAGATACCCGACGCCATTTTATGAGCTTTTAATTTGCATACACTCGCATGTTTTAAATATTACCCGAGGCTTACCTTAACCTGCGACTCGGACATTCCTAAGGCATATGCGAGCTTGGCACGCTCTGGCCCAGCCAGATATTTGGTTTGCTCGAATGTCTTCTCCAGCGCGAATATCTGCTGACCACTGAATGTTGGGCGGGTGTGTTTCTTTTTGCCATCCTTATCGCTGGATGGATGATGCTGATGGGATTGTGACAAATTGGCTGACACTGTAAACGGGTTAAAAGAATATTTTGTTGTTAGAAAGTTTTTGGATTATGCATAATTTCTTGGGTTTCTATTGAAATAAAAATATTCTTTCCGAAAGGGATAAATTGCTGAAATATTAGTTGTATCAGCTATTTTCCATAGCTCCAAGGTTGGTTAATATTGGATGTATTGCCTTCATATTATATCAAAACTGCCTCAATAAAAAGAAAACACGACAATTTAACTTGATGTTGCTTAATAACCTATCTATAAATATTACTCTCTGCAAACTTTTCAAATTTGTAAAATTTACGTTTAAGAGTCGTGTTTACAAGCTCCGAAAGTTGTCGCAGTTTAAATGATTTAATTATGAAACAATGCGCAATACCATAAAATGTATCCAGATTATAATGTCGTTAAAATAAAGTTGGCTAAGTAAAGGGGCCCGCGTCTGTTGTTATTGTTGTTGTTGTTCTTGTGTTTGTTGTCGTTGTGGCAAAGTTTTTTGACATTTATTAATTGTTTATGGTGCGCGTTTGGCGACAGCTGCGAATTGGAGAGGTGGTTGAGCTGAGAAAGCATCAGACGCTGTTGTGGTTTGTTGGGGTTGTTGTCGGCCTTATAGATTCGTGTCTTTTTAGAGCTATTCGACTGCGGCTAACACGCTGTAAACATAATTTTGAAATTGATTTCATCCAAAATTTGCAATCACCGCTAATGCAAATAATATAAATTATTTTTGGCAATTTATTTATGCATACCTTGGCTATGGTTTTCGCATAATAATTAGACACTAATTACAGTCATGGCGGGGCTCACAAATAAAAAGTAGCCAAGCACACGTTGCGACAATTAACAAACCCAAATTGACCACAGAATTTATGAGAGCCACTAAGCATTGGGTCCGTGGGGCCTCGGGCTTTCATTAAAATCAATTAGCCAAAACGACAACGACGACGATGACGACAAGAGGCCAATAAAAGCAGGGACCACGCCCCCCACTAGACGGGCGCTACGTGCAGCCCCCGCAGGGCTCGTAAAGGCAGTCAAGTGGACATGGGTCGGGTGGTGGTCATAAAATTAAACGGCAGCAGTTGACTCTCTCTCTCTCTCTCTAACTGTCTAAGTGGGTGGTCTGAGTTGTGGTACGGCGTAGCCAGCAGCCCTTATGTCGTGCTGTTGTGTGTGTGTGTGTGTGTGTGTGTGTGCTTTCAATTAATGTCACCCCATTATTAAATGATCCCTAATTATGTGAAATGATTTGACTAAATATGCACAGGGCGCGCCTGGCGCTAGGTAAAAAGGTAATGCCACAGTTGTACAGGAAAGCCCTGTGGGTGTTGCTGCTGGTGTGGGTTGGTGGGTTGAGGGTTGAAAATAGCTGCTTTGCCAACAGGGTCTATCTTTGTGTGGTCTTAAATTTATTTCAAAAAACAAACGCGCTTGACTCTTTTTGCTCATAACTATTTCCCTGCAAGCTGGAGTCCCTTTATGATACTTTGGTGCATTTAGTGTAATATTATTAATTTAAATTATAAAACTTAGAATGTGGAATGTGTGTGAGATGAGATAAAGGCGCACACACACACACCCATAGTGGAAAATATATTTGAGATAACGTGAAAAGTTTAAGCATTTAATATAATGTGAATTCTTTATTGGGAAAAGCGAAATGATATGGACAAAGTTGATTCGCAAAACTTTATCATATATAAAAATAATATATAAAAGGGTTTAAAAAGACAGTTGAAACCACCTGAATATTTTGCTATTGACAAAAGAATTTGGCATTTTCTTAAATTTCTTGCTTATTCCAAAACAATTGTTAAATGTTATTCGCAGCTTTCCCTCATTGTTTTGCAAGCTCAGCTCAGCTGCAACTGCACAAATTGATTGCAATGTGCGAGGACATAAAACAAAAAGCCAAATAGAATCGCTTCAAAATAAATATGTGCCATAAAATTTATTATATATTTTTTCGCAGACCATTCGCAAGCTTAACAAGCTAGCAGCAGCAATGCCAACAAACATACCACTTGTCAATAGGGCGACTACGTGGAACATTTCCGGACTTGTTTTGGAAAGGGAGGGCTAAGGCAAGGCGTGTTGGGGTTTAGCAACAAGGCCAAGCCTGGATCGTAACTAGCTTATTCCCCAATAACTAGCCGAAGAGTAAATACCCTTGCGATGTATTTCCATTATAATACACATAGCTGGAGTTTCATTAGAGTGATATAGTAGCTCAATCCTGAGTCTAGGAGCATAGTTCGTAGTTATAGAGGGACTAGGGCTTTGGATACTGATCAGGCATATCTCTTGGGGATCTGATAAAGTCCTTCCTCTAAGCGTTTGGTTGATAAAAAATTATGTAATACCTTCTACAAAGGTATCATAACTGTGTCAGTGATAATCATTTTTATCGCAAACGTGTGCCTTGTCTCCCTCTCCTCTCTCTCTGTCTTTTTTTATCCATCTATTGGGCCCGCAGCTGCGGCCCAAGAACCCTCATAAATAACCGACAAATATGAAGCGTTTATTTGCTCATGTCACGGCCCTTACGCAGTGCTGCAAAATGAAATGAATTGGCAGTGAAAATGGCAGCAGGCTCACTTTCTAGAGCGACCCCTCGCCAGTTCCCCCCCCCCCCCCCCCCACAAACAGTACCTTTTCCCAGCGACAGTTGTCTATAATCGCATAAGTCACCCTGTTGCCAGCGCTGCATTTTCACATCTCTCCTCCTTTTTTTCGGCTTTTGTTCTGTTTCAAATATTTTTTCGCCTACTTCTTTTTTATAGCGTTAATATTTTGGGTTTTGGATTTTCTTTTTATTCGGTATTGATATTAATATCGTGCGGCAAGGGGCGCGCTAGGTGGGCGTGTTATGTTTTGGCTTACTGTTGCCCTATTGAAAATATTAAAAAGTCATTTGTTACGGGCGTGTGGATCGAGGAAAGGTAGGCCAGAGCGCTTGCCGAGTTGACAATAGCAACTGTTGATAGACAACATAGCGAGACAACGAAGAGTGGTTGATATTCGTTTTTTTCTTTTTTAACTAATCTGATAATTAGCATAGATAAGTTACAGTAGACTAAGCCACGTCCTTTTTGATAGAATACGAATATATTTAAACAACAATTTGTCCTACTTCGTCAAACTTGTGAAGGTAAGGTTACATAAACAACGACAGACAAGCAGGTGCTCAATACCCCTTTAATGTATATATATATATATTGTAAAATATATCGATTTCGGTTAAAGGAAAGAAATCAATTATATTCTGTGACATTAGCCTTATGATCTTCAAGTTCGAGCGACAACATAACGAAATCGACTCGGCTGTTAATGCTTACCACGAATATATATCGCAGATGCCTGCCTTTGCACAACTTCAATGCACAGGGTATAAATAAAGACATTATGAATTCAACAACAACGTCTACCCCCGTTAGCATATGCTATTACATTTCTATAACGTACTATAACAATCTTGTAATATCCTTATGCCAATTACCCACATAAGCTCCCTCGCATGTCTGTCTATTGCTCATCTAAAACAATTGTCTCCATAGGTAGCGTCGCTCATTAAGTGTCCCTGATCTGTATCCTACCCGGTGGCTCCCGCTCTGGGTCTAGCTGGCTTGCATTGTTTTATGGCCTGTTTTATGGCCGATTATATGCTCAAAGCACAAGTTCTTTGGGTAGCGATTAGGAGGACGACACCGACACACAAAATGCCACTTGAATTTTAATTAAACGCAACAGCTAGAAGAGGTAGAAGCGCAGCCCCTGACTGTCTATCTGGCTCTCTCTCTCCCCATATCTCTCTCTATTTCTCTCTCTCTCCTGGCAGCAGTAACTTTTTATTTGGGCCTCGTTGTTGCTGTCTTCATTAAGCTTAATGAATTGTGTCAAGTGTAGACAGCGGTTTTGGTTGGTTGCCTCGTCGTTTGCTTGATTTTTTTGCTGCCTTTGGCTAAATGGTTATCTGCTTAGGACCGACAGCCATATAGCTGGCTGTATTTTTAGTTGTTGCTACCTTTTATGATACACTTTAACGCATGTTTTTTAGCCCATATTTACTTTCAAGTTAATTATTTGTTCGCAGCATGTGGCTTTACATAAGCGTGGATAGAGTGGCAAGAGCGCAAAAGAGACAGATTGCCGCACGAAGTAAACGTGTGAGAAATAACCGGACATATATATATATATATATATATATATATATATATATAGTGCTAGTGTTATTATAATTGAAATAATCCATAATCTGATTCAGAGATTGGTTAAAATATGCTTCAAACTCTATTTTACCTTCTTAATGGATATCAGACATGTGCTATATATATGATTATTTCGTGCATAAATATAGCTAAAGTCCGTTGAAGTCCGTTTTCAAAGATTTTGCTAATTTACGTTTCTAGTATAGAGTTAACAGACCTTTCTTCAATTTCATATAAATTCATGTTTTCTTGTTCAAGTAATATCCTTTATATTTTTTTTATAAACAAACTCGAGGTATTTGCATCTGAAAACCCTGCTCTAGCAGAAAATCGAAAGGAAACTTGCCTCGTTATTTGCCATGGATTCGCTTTAAAATAAGAAACTTCAGAAAAACATGTTTCACTTGCTAGTCGCTGGTTTTTCCTCATTGTTTTCACATGATTTTCCAGGCGTAAATATATTGTCATATATTCCGCACATTTACATAAAACACAACACAAAAACACAACATGAAGAGCGTCTGTGTGTGTTTGTTATTTACATAAAAATTGTATATTTATTTATATATTATTTGTGTATACATATTTATGACTGAAAGATGCCCGCCGATGTCGACGAATATGCGACAGCTGCTCAGCCAGACAAAACGAAAGGCGAAAAGAAAAACTTTTACCGGAAAAAGTGCCTCCGGTTGTGTGTGAGTGTTGCTCTATATAAATGTGGGGTATACATAGTATGTGGCTCGTATATGGAGTAGACGATGGGTGGGGCATAAGATAAAGGCAGACGCAGACGCTGCGAGAATATGTTGCCACATTATTATCTAGACGATGGCAAAGCGAACCTACAACAACATGAGCAGGCCCGCCGAGGCTGTGCAGTGTGCGGGGTATGCCAAAATGGGGCAGCTGTGTACGGATAAAAATGAGTGTGAGTGTGTGCGTGTGTGTGTTTATATGCTTGTAGGCTGTCATGTTAACAAGGCAGCAAAAGCTTTATGTGTACGTGTGTTGTGTATATGTGTGCTTGTGTGCGTGTGTTGTTTTATGGGGAAGCTGCGCAAACGACATCGCACCAAAAATGGCGGTCGTTGGGCTGCGTTCATTTAAATGTATATCTGCGCACAGAAGTATGCTATGCAATTGTTCAGCTACTTTGTTTTGATTTCTTCATTTTTCATTATTATTATTATTATGATTTGTTTTTGTTTTTCTTGTTGGTTATTGCACCTTATATTTGTTATAAGTTTTTCATTCATTCTGGATTCTTGATATATTTTTAATTTCATTTTCGCCACAATCAAAATAAAACAAGTTGTGTGTGCTCCGCCACGCTTCTTTTCATTATGACTAATAAATGCACATTTGCATTTATCGTTTATATTTATATTAATGTTTGCAATGCAATTCATTAAGTGCAATTACATAACTGTGAGCCGTATTGAGTTCAATGTGCTTTTATGGACGTGGTATCACAATTGTTTAAACAGTCGCCCAGACAAGGGCAGAACTTCATATAAAATCATTAATAAGGTTGTTATCAGTATCATCTATCGCATTGCGAGTCAATTTACTCAGTTGGGGGCATTTATAATTGGAAAGGTTAGTTATCAGGGTTTATTAAATGAGTAAATACAACTATCAGTAGCTGCGATATTAGAAAGTGGCAAAAAATTAGCTGGATATTATAAATAGGGAACATGAATGCAGTTAGGTGCATATAAGTAGCTGCCTAATATTTTCTTCATAGTGCAATAACAGCATAATATCTATATATGGGATTGGAAACTCTAAAAGTGTAACTGAAGTAAAGTAAATATAAAACTGCAATTTTTCATTTTGCACCAAAAAGGAGCTGGAGAAGAAGAAAAATAATTAATTGTGTTTTTTGCTTCCAACAACCCACCATTGTAACCCTTGATAATGTAAGCTTAATGCATTAAAGTGTTTATTGTTTTCTTCGGAATATATAAATCTAACTAACTATCTATAAAGATTCCCAGCTTTTGCAAAATTCTTAAGTGTTAACTAACTCTGCAAATGCAGTAGTTAATCAATATTTTTTGCGTGCTCTTAAGTCGTTATTTTATGTTGTATTTAAATAAGGTTACTGTGATTTATACACAGACAGCACATTATCAATTTCCTAGCTAGCTCCACTTGCGTCACTCTTGAGACTAGCTCAGCAGTGTTTGGCAAATCAATTGAAATAATATTTACCTAATCGGAGGAGCTATGAAACATTCCACGATACACTTCAGAAATCGAATCGAACACAAGGCAAACACAACAGAAGACAAACACAACATGCACGACAACATTTCTCTGGCGATCTCTGGTGATCTCGTTACTAATTCAATAAGAAAATTATGTTCGATTTCCGACTTAATGCCCAGCCGCAAAATGTGCACAGTCATTGGCGCAATTAAAAGGCAAACAGCAGCTGACTTCACTGACTCTTCACTCTTAACCACAACACTAAATCAAATCAAATCAATTGCCAATGCGAACGATCATTAACCACAGCAGCAACAGCAACAGAAGCAGTGGCCACAGGGGACAGGCGGTGCGGGACGGGGCTTTTAAATAAATAAACAATGTGAAAACGAGTTCGAGTTGGAGCTGAAGTTGGAGTTGGGCGATTACTTAATGAGCTTAGGTGTGAAGTGTGGTGTGTGGGGTGCGGAGAGGGGCGGCGGCTCAGTGCCTTATAAATAGATGTAATAATGAAGTAACCAGATCCAGATATCGTTACCCCAAAGCAGTCGAAAGATGCTCGAAAGCGTGCGAGTAAATTAATTTTTCATATGCTTTTGGGTTCGAAAAAAAAAAGAAAAAGAATTCTTCTTTTATGTAGAGTCATTGTCAGCTCTATGGATCGATCGTTGGATGCGTCGCTTCGATCGCTGATCGTGTTAAAGTGATTCCCTTTATTTTTATTATTTTTCTTCTGCTTTTTCATTTTTCTGCCAGCTCTTTTAATGAGTTGGACAATGCGCCATCGGCTGCACTAAGCACATTGGACTCGTCATATTGGTAATCACTTGAGTAGCGATCCATGATCATTAGGGGCAGCTGCCTCATTCGCTGCGCTTTGTTAACGGTATCAACAGGAAGTCGCGCTGCGCCTCAATGGAGACGGCTTGCGCCTCGAGGTGTGGCACTCATTGTTGACAAATCATCGGGCCCCGGAGGCCGCAACAATTGTAACCAAATTACGTGCCACCGTGCCACTGAATGCACTGATTGTTCGGCAGCTCCACGCGATGCCGCGCATGGCATCTGAAGTGTTGTGAAGTGCTCTTTATTTGCAAATTAGTGCACACATTCATATATCTGGCCAGCCAGCTATATTCACTTACTTGTATTCGATAGACGCTCCCGCCACGCTATCGGATTGGCCACCAGACCCTGCAGTCCGGGCCAGTACAGATGCGTGCGATCCACGATGTGCCCGGCGTGCGTCTTCAATGGCGTTCCCTGGCTCTGCGATAGATATTGAGCCATGCCTGCCGCAGCAGCGGCTATAGAGAAACGTGGAATGCCAGCTGTGATGAGAAAAAGATTGCATTAAGTTGAAATACATAGAAGATATTTAAAATCTAATCGATAGCTGAGTCTTAGTAAGCAGTTTCTCATATTAGAATACAGAGAGTCATTTTAAAAGTAACAAACTTTGCTTATAAATTGTATTGATAAATTCTATTTTAATAAAATCCATTGGATTCCGAATCGTAGTCGCCTAGTTTCTCGAAAGCCTGGCTCCTTTAGAAAACACATGTTTATACGTCAGAGAAGTCAGTTATAGATTTCATATTGTAGAATTCAAATCTAATTCAAAGACCAAGGAATTCACTACGTGGAAATACCATGCGCTATTTCCTTTCTTTTTAACAACCTATTTTCAGCTCATGTAAACCTTGAAAGTTTCAAAGTTCCAAGGTTCATCATAAATAAAAATAAGTGTTCTTTTTATTCTTATTATAGTCCCTCACATCTGCCAACTCATTGCGCTTAGAACTTCGCCCATCTAAACGATTTGAACCAATTAGTTTGCAGCTATTAAATAATTTGTCATAAGAGAACTAAAAAAGTTTTTATAGTTTACAATTGAGCCAAAAAAAAAAAAAAAGAAGAAACAAGCAACAAAATCAAATCAAGTCACATAAACGCCCTCGTTAAAATTAATTAAAAATTTTATGGTAAATTGTCAACGCCCTGTCGCATGCCCCTGTCCTCTAGCCCCGCCTCGCACCATGCCCTTCCACTCAGCCTACACCTTTTTTTTCATTACGAACAAATGTTGACCCACTCCTTGTTGGTCTGGTCGGCTCTGTCATGCCGCACAATTGGGCTACATTTAACTGTCAAAATTTGAAATCGTTTTAGTGAAACGGCAAAGTCATATATGTTGTACACCCCCCCCAGCCCACCGCACCGCCCGATTTTCGTGTGTCATTTTGATTTAATTACAAACAATTTGACAACTAATTGCTAAACGTTTAAGTATCGCATTACGCTTTGCGTCATTTTGCAATTTTGATATTATATGATTTTGGAAATTGTGCCCAATAAAATGCTCCCTACACTCTGCTTGGGGTAGGGCTGGGGAGGTTGTCTTCATTGTTGTTATATTTGTTGCTGTTGTAGTTGCTGTTGTTGTCATTTTATTGTGGAATCATGTCAAACCGGATTCATGCACAAAACATTTGTTGCCGGGCAATTTTCAAACGAACCAGTTTAGGAACCAATTTTTGGGGCCGTGCATAATGTCTGTTCAATACATTTACATTGCATAATGATGGGCAAATATACCACTTATGGCATTTTTAATAGGTAGCTAATATCTTAGAGAATCAAAAACTTGTCTTCTAAAGAAACTAAAGAAAATAAGACCAGCCATATCGCAGAATTCAAGAAATCTAAAATATAGCATATCAAAATATATAAATTTATATACAGCTGCATTTTTGTATATTTGTAATCACCGACTATTCTACTCTCTATTTAATTATAGCTTCTTCTTTTAAGATATTTAGTGTAATCCTGGAACAACGAAGTTTAACAAAATAAGTCAGGAATTATATTGGAATATATGTGTATATCTGGATATTCATATAGAAATAGGAAACATATTTAAATTCTAATAGGCTCATCAAATCAGTATATTCTGTCTGTTAAGATCAGAGTAACTTATTTTAATACAGCATAATTAAGTGCCAAGAATATTATTATCTTTTTATTATCTGGGATCTACGACCTTTGATTATGAAACTAGCTCTATTCCCGAAACTGTGATTTGAATCTGTCTTCATTTTAACATACGTAGACAATTATAATTTTCCTTTATCGATTTCCACTCACCTCCCGTTAAAGCACTTAGACCCGCCGATGTTACCGGCGGCGGTTTGGAGAGTATCGTATCGATGCCATGCGGATTGGCAGCGCCTTGGGTATTTGTTGTCGTCGAGCTGCTTGAGCTGGAGCCCGTCACGCGTTCGCTGATCAAATGGGAGTTGGGACTGTGCCCATAGACCAGGCCATTGCCGGAGGCGCCTACGCCACTGCCAGCTCCAGTGCCTACGCCTTGTGCAGTCTTCATTTCTGTGGTCATGGAATGCAGAGCCGCTAGTGGCGGACCCAGAAAACTCAATGGCAGCTTGTGCTCCATGTTGTTGTTATTGTTGTTGTTGTTGTTGGGATGGTTGCCAATATTGTTGTTGCTGTTGTGCAGGCTAAGCGGATTAAGGCCGCTGCTTTGATGCTGATACTTGCGACTGGTCAAGTTCTCTGGACTGTAGTCAGACGGCGGCGGGCTGGACTCGCTGTTCTGGCAGTGGTCCTCGCCGCCGCTGCTGCGTTGGCTCAATGCGAAGGATTTGGCGCTGTCGACGCCGGGACTGGAGTTGTGCTCGTAACGTGGCGAGGGCGACGATTCCGAGTGTAGGCGCGACGAGGCGGGCGGTGGCGTTGTCGATGGCGAATCCTCAGCAGATGATTTGGCCTCCAGCCGGGCGCCAACTGCGCCGCCGTGCGCCGCCTTCAGCAGCATTAGTGGGCTGTTTAGTCCATTGTTGTTGTTATTGTTGTTGTTGTTGCTGCTGGCATATGCCGCCGCTGCTGCCGCAGCACTGTGATAGTCCGCCAGCTGTTGCTGATAGTCCGCCGCGGCCATCGCATGTGCATGAACATCGGCAAATCCATTGCTCAGACCTGCGGCAGCCGCTGCGGCCAAATGATGGCGTGCCGCCGACGGCGGACTGCTCTGGGAGGCAGCCGCAAAACTGTGATGGCGCATATAGGGATTGATGAGATCCATGTCCGGATCGGTGCTGGGCGAGTGTACGTAGTCGAGGGAGGCACACTCCGGTGCGTTGGCCGGACTGGGACCGGGTCCGTCTGTGGGTAGGCGATGATAGAAGCTGGGCGGCAGGGCGAGATTGAAGGCCGAGTTGGCCGACAGCTGAAATGTCTGGGCAAGCTGCTTGGCTGCCGATGGTGTGGGGGATGGGTTGTTGCTGCTGCAGCTGCCACCCGCGGGCGTAGTGTGCAGAAATGGACTACCCAGCTTGGGATATTCGTTAAAAACGCGTTTCACTCTGAAGAATAGCCGGACTAGCTATGGACTAACTTATGCTTTTTTGGCAGTTATTTGTGGTCCTACGATCGCACAGGACTAAAGACTAAAGCTCAATTTTCTGTTAAGACTTTGGCACTTGACAGCGTACAGAGCTTCAGTTACAGAATCAACTCTTTCACTGGAAAACGCTTAGCACTCGAAAATTGAAGAACACGAAATACGGAATTTGCCAACTTTTCGTGGTCATCTACGAAATTTGATTCGGGATTTAGCCGCGCGCGTGTCCGCTTGTTTAGGCCTAAGACTAACGAATGATTTCGAAATTGACTCGAGCGACTTCACTTCGCATGGCGACCCGCAACGTGAAGCAATCTCAGCTGAGCAACCCTGTGCCGGTCCGCTTGCTGCTCTTTTCCACTCATTCAGACGCAGCATCAATTGCGAGAGTAAAAGAGAGAGAGAGATAGAAGGCGAGAGCCCCGTATGATCTGTTTCATTCTCTCTTTTAGTAAATCAGTTGGCGTGTGTGTGTTTGTACGTTCCACAATCAGTGTAAACATGCCTTGAAGCTGGAACGCATTGGCATTGGCACAAAACGAATGGGAATTTTATTATGTACATCATTAAAATCAACTATTTCGGATTGGATTGGAGCTGGAACTGGACTGGTTGCGTTTCAGAGCACTGAGAGTGTTTTGTACATGCAAGAGAGTTATCTCTGTGTTTGTGTGATGATGTCTGTGTGTGTGTGTGTGGTTGAGTGCATTCGCAATGTTGTTATTGTTGCTGGTGGGTGGAATCTGGTTGAGGCGCGGCCCGACTGTGAATGCTGTTTATTTGTTTAAAAAGCTATAAATATTAAGTGAAGCTGTAGCTGGCAGGGATTGAAAAAAAGGTTTTTTCATTTCTGGGTATATTCATTTAAATAATTACAATTTGTGCAATGGCATAATTAAAAGTAATTAATGTGAATCGGATGTGGAAATCGGAAAAACAAATAAAAGCGAATTGCTAAAAAAGATTCTATTAAATTCAATTGAATAAACACTTACAATCTTACGTCATAGACAATAAACTAAGAGCTATTTAACGAATAAAATATACATTTCAATATAAATAAATATACTTTTGGAGAACATTTCCATTAATATATGTGCATATTTAACTTTTTAATGCTCGCAAAAAACTTGAACTTTAACTAGGAAATCAAGTTTTATTGAGTATATAAACGAATATTTAATGAATTTTAGCTTTCCCATTTTATATTATATTATATTTTTTGTACGGGTTTCCTCGGCCGAACGTTATTTAAAATTAATTGTCTGCTTGTTCTTTATCGGCACTCAAATGCAAACAAATAAAAATAACTTAATTAATACGCTAATTAACATTTCAATATTATTATGTGACTGTGCCACGAACGACAAACGATTTACAATTCCCATATGCATATGTACATATACATGCATATTTATGTATATACGTATATACGTACACTACGAATAGCAAAGGCACACATACAAATACAAAAATTGCGCTTCATTTAATAATAAACTACACAATTTTAATTTACTCACACACAAAGGCGCAACAACAACGCAATCAACCGAAACGCAACGGAAACGAAACAGCGGCACATAGGCCACACCCACCACAGGCGCTGCACAGCTTCAGCTCACGAGCGAGAGAGAGAGAGAGAGAGAGAGAGAGAGAGGGAGCGCTGCAGCCGCCATTGTTTGTCGCGCTTTTATGTGTGTGTGAGCAGTGAGAGCAAAGTATTCGTTGCGCTCAAAATGTAACTCAAACTCAATTTGGTAAAGCAACCAAATTGTGAGTAGCTGCAAACGTTTCTCACCACAGCTGTTGCTGTTGCTTTCGACACTGTTATACTCTAGTTAATAGAGTTTATTATTCATACACATACATAAGTGTGTGTGCATGTGTTACATTCAATCCACTCAGCGCCAAGACGCAGCCCTCGTTTATTTGCCCAGCATCTTTAACTAAGATCTTTACAATACAATATAAATTTATGCATACAACAATGTCAAGTCCGATTATCGCACTTAACAGATCTCGAACACGAAACAGGGAAAACTGGAAAACTTTTCTCTTTTCTTAAATATAACATACGCTCATAAATGCCCACACTACCAGCAGGCATATAAAAAAATCTAACAAGCTACTAAAAAGTTGAAATAGATAACGAAACATAGCAGTTACGATTCGGCCTCTGAATAAAGCCAAACAGTGATTGATTTATTGTTTTATTGCGCAAAAAAACAACAGAACCCAAAAAATGCCAGAAAATCACAAGAAATGACAACGGCGATAAGCAGAGAATATTTTTTTTAGAATGTCTTCCATGCGGCAGTGCGGGAGCATTTCGAATACAAAAAAAAAAAAAATGGTCCAAAGTTGAATCAACTCAGATACACAAAAAAAAAAAAGCGGGTAATTAATAAATAATTTTTGAGCCTCTTTTTTCACATGTTGGCACTAAAATCAACCCAAAGGTAAATAGCCATGGCTAATGCGGACGGCCAGACTCTGTACCTGGCTAGGTTGGATTTGCCACATAGTTCATTAAACTGTGCACTGACAGTGGGACACAATGCAGCAGAGAGATTTCTGGCAGCTGTGAGGGGCAAGCGGGGCCGAGCTCTCTGCTGGTATTTATGATGCTTTTATTTGAATGGTAATACACCAAAACTCATTGTGAAAAAGCTGGTCAGAACAATGCACAGCAGTTATTTTAATACAACTAGGGGAGTCGTTGTCTGAGCCCGAAAATAGGGATATTTTAGATAGAAACTTCATTAAGCATCAATCATTCAGATACAACTTCATTCAGCAAAGTGAAATGTGCTCAAGCTGAGAATGCTCGAACAGTACTCATATGAATAACTTTTCAATTCCGTCTGGCAACCAAATATATATGAGGAAAAACTCCTTAATCAGTAGAAGAACTTAAATACCAGATTCGTCTTAACGATAATTTGAAATAAAAATGATCTGTCCTTTATTTCACGTTCGACGTCTTCTTTGAATGTTTGTGGCTATTGAAAAAGTGAGATTTTCTTAATATTATTAAAACTAAATACCAGATTTCTTCTTTGAATCTTTTCAAGCGCTCATACATATGTATATTCAAACACGCAGCCACACTTTAATTTAATCATAAGGAATGCAAACAATCCAAAAAGAAAAACCATATTCAACTGTTTTGAATAAAAACAATACTCAGCCAATAATCCTTTCAAAATTTGAATTTCCTGTTGCCAGTTAGAGAACAGCTGTGGCCATCGACTCGACCTTTCAAGCGTTGACCATTCGGCGAACAAACCCCACAAATTTCACACCTAGTGGAACACTGCGTTGCTTCTTAGTGTTATTATTATTATTGTGGTGTATTATTATAATGCGATTTCATGAAATTGGGGCAGCCACAGCAAGCACAAGACCAGGTCGGGTCACATGTGTGCAGCCCTCTGACGTTCGACATTATTTGAATGGTCAGCACAAAATATGAAAGCCAAACAAAAAATGAAACCAAATCTCAACATTTGGCATGCAATTTGCATTTTTGCTAGTAAGTTTTGTATCTTCTTTTTTTTTTTTGCTTTGAGAGGTTATTACTCAAAGTTAAGTCGTTCGGGGTTACCGGGTTTTGATGTATGTCAAAGTTACGTGCGCGTTAAAATCTTGTCTAATTTAATATCTATAAATCCCTGCTCTGACAGGGCTACCCCTTTATGGCCCGAAAGGGTTGTTCGGCTGTTGAGCCTAACCTTATCAACGTGGCAAATTGATTTCGGCTCGTTATGCGGTCATTGGGGTATATTTTGTTGGTTTAGCATGGTCAAAAGAAAGCAAATTGTAAAACCGAAATTGGCCAAACGTGCGTTACAAATTAATGTTTGTTCGGGATTTGTTTCTCCCCACAAACCAAAAAAAAAAAATGTATATACATATATAAAAATAAATATAAAAATTGTTTATCGTTTTCCGTTTTTTACTCTTTGTCAAACAGGTCATAAAACCCTTTTATACTTCAACAGACCCTGCGCCTGATGCCGAGTTATGTGGTGTAAATGCTTTGGGGTCGCTTTAAAGGTAAATTGGCGGACGGGAGGGTTATGTTATTGATAAACAATCAATATGGTATTAGTTGGGCTTGTCATGATATCAATATTGATATGCTTGGCTTATCTAGGGTATTCAAGTTATAATGGGGAAATACTGCAATTCGAGAGCTTATAACAAATTGATATTTATTTATTTATATTTATTAATAATAATAAATAAAAAAGTTTTCTAGGTCAACCTTTTTGTACTAATAGTATTTATCAAATAACTTTACGAAAATATTACCCCAAAAATCGGCTTTTTTGTATACACTTTTTCAACATATTAGATAGACGTAATCTTCTTCGAAACAATTGCGCTTCTCTTTGCACTTCTAATCATATTTTTATTGCATACTTTAGTGCGCGTTAGATCGGAATATGTCGTTTCTGATTGCTTTCATATTTGTTTACATTTCCTGTTCCTTTTGACAGGGAGTAAAGTGGGAATAACAATGCGTTGACGAAGGAGCCCGTGCAAAACCAGGAACAGTAGAAGGAGCAGGAGGAGGATATAGAACAAAGGCACAGACGTGTATGGCATATCAAACGACGAGCGCATGGCACATGTTTCAATCATTTTCCATTTTTATTTATTGTCAGCGTTTATTCTGCTGACACTTTCCGATTTTGTGTTCGTGCGCTTAGAAAACAATTTGCAAATTGCTTTAAGCAGCCCCTATGCCAACCAAAATGAATCACAATTTGCATAGGACTGAGTGCGGCAAGTGTTTTTTTGACGCAGTAATTAAAAATAATTTCGTTTGCCAGCTAATCAGCTTAAGCAACTGGCAATCGCAGGGCTCTTGGCAATTTTAATTTCCTTAACATGGCTAATAAATTTTCCTACTTATAAAGTGTGCGGGTGCGTCAACGAAAAACCATAAAAAAAAGTGCCAAGGCCTGAAAAACTTTGTATTTGCTAGCCTTGCGACGGATACATAAGCTTTGTCAAGTTGTTTGTCTCAAAACTTAAGATGTGAAGCGATTCAGAAAATTTGCGGATGAAGAGTTGAAGATTTGCTTTTGAGAGCATCGCATCTTTGACTCAGGTCTTGGTTCCGATCTTGGTTAAATCAAAACCAAGACAATTTGAAAAACAGTTTAAATTTTCATCTAAAACTAAACTATTGCGGCTAGCAAAAATTGAGCTTTGAGCTTTGAGCAACTTTCTGTTGACATCATGAAGTGATCTATTGTCAGATCCTCTCTCAATAATTCAAAATGGAGCACAGTAAGAGTATGTCAGCTGTCGGCTAAACTGTTGGTTCATTGATTCTTGCTGCAATGTCGCTCAGTTGCCAATTTATGTGCAAAGTAAGCTGAACGGAAACGATTGTACACTCGTGACTGCCACCAGGTTCTGCCCCTGCTGTTGCCCCCTTCCCATGGCCAGTACATATTGTTGGTCATACAAATTCAATTACTTTTGCTGTCGATTTTCGAATAGGTTTTGTTGTTTCGATTCGATTTGCAAGCCTGACCCCGCCTACACGGCAACACTCAGTCCACATCCTTGGCCCCACCGGCTTCAACTTGATTTCAATTAAACTGAGTTGCCCCATTGGCGCGGACGCTTTTCGACGTGTCGCAATTGCAGCTACCAAGTTTATTTGCTTGTTTTCTTTGCCCAACGACTGCTGCTGCTTGGCATTTAATTGTTTTTCTTCGTTTTTCATTTTCTGATTTTCTTTTCTCTCTGTCGCTCTCTTTGACCAC